CCTCTTAAGGCATACAGACAAGTTAATAAAGTTTCAGATTTCTCTTATTTATAAATTATGGTTAAATTATGTAACATGTTTGATTTATTTGAAGTGTCAGATAGGATAGGTGCTACCGACTAAAAACAATATTACTAACATTCCATTTAGAAAAATGCTTTTCTATTTCCACCTCGATAATATGAACTAATATTACATTCCATATATTAAGCGTAAATTTCGCTTGTGCATAAAAATCCTCATCAATAAGTAAACCATAAACTTCTTAATAAATGCAATACATATAAGCCAACATTCAAAATACCATGGTAGCGTCTACGGGATAATTTAAGAACAACAAACACTAGACAGTTATTTCATAACAGTATTGTGTTTCTTCGGATCACATACCTTAGATGCCAACAAGGATCTTTCAATGAACGCTTAAAATTTCTATCATTATATCAGATTCTTGTGGTCTAATTTTAGGGACATAGATACGATCTAATAATGGGTCTCAATTGAGTTTATTTACCTTAAATTGTGGAAGTATATATACCAAGGAAAATCAATATTAAGGACTACATTATACATATAAAGGATGAATCTCATAATTTTACGCACAAATTTCAAGGGATCACCCAAATTTAAAAAAACCTGCAGTCAATGTGAATATTTTCAAGTTCTAGTAGGAAGCCATGAATTGTGTATATCATTGGATTTATTCATGCAAGGATCCGTGGATTGAGCTTTGACTAATGGGATAATTCAATAACTTACAATACCCTGACTCAGACTTGCATACCTCATCTATCCAGTAAGAATGAAACACTAGATGATACGATTAACCAAGCAACAATATGCAGCGTTTCTGCAATAACTCAGCTTATCTTTGTCAGAAAGGTTGGGTGAGGATCTCATGATCTAAATTTTTTAAAAATGTTGCCGTTGAATTCCTATTCAGCGGCCAGGTGATATAGCATTTGGAATGTGATATGATAATCTTGGGTTTGATTTTCAGTGAAATCCTGTATTCACACACTGATGAGCAATTATGAGTTAGCATGAAAGCTTTACTCAGAAGCTCATTGGTTTTAAAGGGTCACTTATTAAAATCAATTTTTAACGAAACTCTCTGATTATATTCATTTACAAATAAAAACTCTCAATCGGCTTTAGTTACACACCGAATTCAACATGAAATTGAATATCAAGTCAGCAATTGCCTAACAAAGTGTACCTGACCGGTAGTCAAATCTATTGAACAATCGAATTAGCTTCAGAATATTCCACCATAGTTAGGCGATCTAGTTATCATTTAAAATTGTAGTCATTAAAATTGGTAAACCGGTTATATCAGTTATCGAAATATGATTTATTTATTCACAATGCAAATTAAATAGATCAAGATAATTTATATTATAAAAAGCACTATCATACAACTATTCGACATTAATCACAAGCGTCTTTCTGTATCTAAAACAAACCTTAACATGGATTCTTAAAATGTCTTAATCATTTAGTCTTAGTTGCCTTGAGTTTAACTCTTATTATCATTTTACTATCAATACAACGGTTTTGATAATTATATAACAAAATACTGGTGACCAACAAACTATGATTCTGTTTGTGTTTTAATAGCATGCGTTTTGCTTATTTATCAAACGTAAACTATTTCTTATGTCAAATCGTTATTTACCTGTCCATAAGCTCCCTTGAACCGAGCTTCACGAACGTGTGGTGCATAATTGACTTCAACCATTACATCGTATTCAGCTGATCCAGCGACATTGTTAACTGCATAACATCGATAAACGCCACGATCATAACGATCAACACGAGGAATATGTAGTGTCGAATTCTTAAAAAAATTAATAGAGACAGCAAGTGGTAATGTAATTTAGGCAACAAATTTTAATGAAACCCAAATAAGTTAAAATCTAACTAGTTTTACCAGATACAATGGATAAAACCATGAGCTCAACAGCTTTTCTTGAGAAAAGCTTTATTTAAGTCATTATTTATAAAATATGAAAGATTTAAGTTAAACGTACATAAATTCTTTGTGGTGAGCCTGGAAGTGACAGAGGTCTTCCATTAGCTCTAGTCCAACTTATCATCGGTGGTGGAGAGCCTTGAGCACGACAAACTAATGTCAAAGAGTCGCCTTCTGTCACAATTTTAGATGTCAACCCCGGAAGAATCTCAGGAGCGCGTTTCACGATAATATTCCCATACGCTACAGGCCATTGATCAACTGGTGTAGTTCCTTAAATTCGACAAGTTAAAAAAAATTGAAGATTAAATAGATTTACAAAACTATTTCAATGATAAATAAGTTTAATGAAACTATGTGATTACGTCTAAATATTAAAAATCATAAGGGTGAGAAATGAATGATCTTTTTATTTTATAATTAGGAACAGAATTGAAATAATTCCCAAAGATTGGTTGTTAATTTCGAGCTACTAATGACTGTTTATAAAGACGAATGATAGATTTGTAACTTATAAATAGACGTCCAATTACAACCTTCAAAGTTAAGCCAGTCTTGGTTGTCTCGACCGTAGCTGTCACCTTGATATGTTGGTCGAGCATACCAATCGTGATGACCCAACCGGGCTATAAAGGCTCAAATATTTGTTCCTTTAGGTCCTACCATGTCTGGCAGGTCGACTGAAGAACGGTAAGATTCAAAGCAGCAAATTAGGGTCTGAGGCTGACAGTAGAGGGCTTTGGTAGCAGTAAGGTGTTTCCCTCGGACAACCAGCATCTGCAGCGATGCTGCCTTCTCACAAGGAAGGAAGGGGCTAGAAAAGGTCAACCCTAAAAATTTCACAACTCACCTTACCTCACAGATTCCCGTTTCCGGCGGTAAGGTCACTTCAGCAGCGGAGCTAACACTTCCAAAATATTCCATGAAAAGGCTGTGCGTGACCGGCCTCAAACAGTTGTCCCTGCGGTCACACTCACAGGTCGTTAAGACAAACTCTAATCTAACTTCCGTTTCAAGACTGGGTTGCATCAGAACCTGAACTAGTGATAGAGAGTGAGGCAGTCGAGCGTTCAGTCCGCTTCACTTATCTGGGGAGTCTCATTAGTGCTGATTGCCTGGTGACTAACGAAATCTCAGCTCGGATCCAGAAGGCTCGATTGGCTTCTGCCGACCTGCGTCACTTACGGTGAAGGCGAGATATCCGTTTGCTGACTAAAGGACGGCTGTACTGCGCAATAGTACGCTCCGTCCTACTTTACGGCTGTGAAACATCGCCAATGAGAGTAGAAGATATTCGTAGGTTACTTGTTTTCGATCACAGGTGTCTTCTAAGTATTGCTCGAGTATCGTGCGACAACCGAGTAAGCAATTCTGTCGTTAGGAAATGAGTACTAGGTAAGAATGGCAGATCGATAGATGAAGTAATAAAACTTCATCAGTTGAGGTGGTTGGGACATGTGTTACATATTCCTAACCACCGACTGCCTCGTCTAGCTATATTTTGCGGTGTAGGAATAGGTTGGACGAAAGCAAGGGGCGGCCAGACCAAAATATGACACAAATCCATGAAGTCACTGACAAGTGGACTGAGTCATGTCGGTAGGTGTCGACTACCTGGTTGGGGTCCGCATAGTGTTAGTGATCGATGGTCAGAGGCCCTGAATTACATGGCCCAGAATCGTTTGCGATGACGAAGGTGTATTCATTCTTTGTGTTCTCTCGAATCCCAAACTTTTTAATTCTTCATCTCTTTATATTTATCCTCTTATGTCTGTTTCAATAGATTCTATTTCTTGAATAATAACTTCTAATCCTAACCTCTCCGACTACTGCTAATACCTCTACTACTATTGGATTTGAATTGACAATTATATCTCTGTGCTAATGTGGTCTGGCAACATGAACTGATGTACGTACGTACGAAGTTCTACGTTGCTATTGATCGATTGATTGAACCTCCGTACTCAAGAAATACCCTTACAGGTGTGGTCAGCCAGGAAGTGACATCCACCCTCATACCCGTAACAGCACACAAGTCTTGGTAGTATATTTAACCATGGTAGAAAATTAAAGTAGATTTTATGATGAATAGTTAAAGAATTGGAAAGCCTATGGATATGTAAAATATAAATGTAAAATAAATAATGTTAAGATCGGAAACGGCTTCAAAATAAAGCGAAATTTTCACTAATTCTCAATTAAACATAGTTACTAATCTATAAATAAAAGGTAGTTTAAAACTGCAGTGGCTGATGTTATACTCTGCAAGCAAAGCTCTTAACTCTTGTTAATACAGATGTTGGTAGAAAACAGAATTATAACTGAACACTCAAAATAAGAATAAAATTTTGAAACGAACAAAATGTAATTCATCTAGCCTCAAACTTGATGTTAGGACTTCTTTTCATCATGTGAACTTGATTAAAATGAAACAACCAAATCAATAAAATAAGTAGTTTGACAAAGAAGCTATTTCAGAAACTTGAGGATTGTTTAAAATACTTAAGCAAAGTGATTTGCTGTAGAACGATATAATCAAAACAATTGTTAAAAAAACACTGTAAGTGGTAAGTTGAAACTTCTAGCATGTAGAGTTTCAGGTCAAGAGAATTAATTGTGCCACTAACTATGGTGATGTAATTACAAAACAGAGAAAACAATCGGTGTACTAACAGCCTCATAAATTTCAAATTATATGAAGGAATTAAAAATGAAATGAAGATTATGAAACTCTCATCCGTTTAGATTAAAAACGACTTCAATGTGGTAATAGGTTTGGTGAAATTCTCTATTACATTCCCGAAATGAGAAATGTCAAAGTAAACTTACTCAATTCAATAACACATTTGAATTGTGTATCTGCATCATTAATATCTACAAATCGAACAATCAGTTGGTAGGTACGTAATTTGTTTACGTCAACACCAGCCATATTAGGAGCGTAATTTGGTCTTCCAGGAAGAAATCTAACTGCATATTTGCTGACTCCATGAGGACCACGACGAACAGGATCTTTAAGTGTACTACCAGATGAGATTTGTTGCTTGTCTACAGTACGATACCAGCTAATTTGCTACACGTATGACAAGAAAGACGAAAATTGAATTGTTTTCATAGTTCTACAGAAACATAAATGTAGATGACTGGCCAATAAATGATCATACTTTTCTCAAATAAACAAAGTTAGCCTGTAACGAAAGTCATATTTAATTGATACTTGTTATAATTCTCTCTTTATCACAACCCAGCTATTCGTTATGCTTGATATTCTCAGACACCAATTCACTCGAGACGTTCTCCCAAATCAGAACACGGTTGAACAAGAAGTAGAGATTATATTCCAATGACAAAGTTAGATGGAAGACAGAAGGTCCAAAGGAAAAAGACGTTAGTATATTTATAGTTTCATTACATGAGAAGATTCTAGAATGTTCCCTCATTATCGGCTAGCGGTGACTGGATACGAGAGTCAATCAGCGTGCAACAACGCAATCATGCTCTAATCTAATCGATGTCCCACTAACAGTACTCGTCAGAATTCAGATTACCGTTAATTAGATAACTACGTCTCATATCCAAATTAATATACGTCTCCTTAACATGGAGAAGAAGAAGTCTTTTTACTTATGAATACATTTTGTAAACATGTGCTACATTAACTTTAACGACGGGGTGAATGTTTCGGATAATCAAAGTATTTCAGAGTTTAATTATTTTACGTTAAGTTAGTCTGCACAAACACTCGGAGGAATGGATATTATTATCACTTCTTTGAAATTTCATACTCAAGACGTTCCTTGTAAAATAGTATGATGGGTGCTACTTGCAAAGTGGCTTACGAGTAGTATGCAGCGGATCTTAGCTCTAGAGTGGCTACCTGTGAGTCTGGAGATCAAAATGTATGGAGCAATCTTCGATAGAGTATGGTCTCACAGAAATATCAGTCGGAAGATGAAATATATGATTTTAGGTGTTATGTAACCCAATAAATTTTATCAACCTCAAAAGACAGTCTTCAGAAAAAATTCTGTAACTATATATAGTATACTGGTAGAGCAGTTCTATTTCATGTATTATACAGTGCTAGGACACACACTGCGAGAAGCATCGAACTGCGTCACATGACAAGCCCTCACATGGAACCCTCAAGGTCAAAACAAAAGAGGCCAAGGAACACATTACACCGAGAAATAGAGAAAGACATGAGAAGGATGAGCAAAAACTGGAAAGGGAAGCCCAGGCCAGAGTTGGTTGGAGAAAACTGGTCGGCGGCCTATGCTCCATTGGGAGTAACAGGCGTACGTAAGTATTATACAGTGCATAATGAAACCAAAACTCTTACAATATATATCACCAACGGTCATAATGATGGGGATAATGGGGATCTAAAATACAATAATGAGATATAATAACCAATCACTAGTTTGTCGGTAATATCCCATCTTCTATTGATCTGACGGCCACGAAAAATGCCGAGCTTGCAACGAAGTTCCCGGTTTCCTGATAAATGTGCTTATGTAAAGGGTGTGGACAACGCTTTAAAGTACTAATGCAAATAATATTACTAAAACATTTTTCAAAGTAACGAGACCCAAAGGTTGAAGTGAATCGTCAAGTAAACGGTTACCTGTTCAAAATCACTAACTACGAGAGAGGATTTGACAGAAACACATGATAAAAGTTTTTCTGTCAACGTGATATTCACAGATTTCAGAAAAATATTTAATAAGGTTTCGTACTTCAGGTTTATGCAGAAGTTCTTGAACTTAACTGATCATCTCTAAGAACGCAACGAGGAGGTTAAAAACTAAGAGTAAGATTTTATTTTTCTCATCGAGTGGTCAATGACTGGAAGACCTTGCTTTACACATTCACTAGATATATTTCATGTTGCTGAGAGAAAACTTGTATAATGTCTACAGTAGCCGGCTGAGTATATAAATAATCATCCAGAGTCGATGATATCAGAGCCTCTTCATAGTATAAATATGCAGACTGTCGTAAACAAATGTGTAGCAAAACTGGACTTGAAAATTTGTCAAGAAAATCTATGAAACTCCCTCTAATGAACCTATTTGAATGGTTTTATTTACAATTTGATGTCACTTGGTCGATCGATCACAATCCGAGAAGTGAGAGTTCTCAATAGAAAATATTTGTGATTAGTGTAAGCCTATAGAAAATGTTATCATTGGAGCACCTAAGGAGTGTATACTTTCGACTGCATCATAAATGAATGGCGATAAAAAGTAAGACTGAGACACGTTTACTTACGGATTCCTGTTGTTCCTCTATGACTGCAGTGCAATTAAGGTAAGCAGTACCTTTTTCCTGTACGACAGCCGTCTCGATTCTGTCTGTGATCTGAGGGATGAAACCTTTGAATTATTCGAATGACAATAATTGTCTGCAACTTACCATTGGACAAAGGACAAATTATCGAGAAGAAAGCAACAAAAAGTGTTAAAATCCTCAACACGAAACGCATAATTTGTAAAACAGTCCTTTCAAAATAAATAACATTGGTCGACTAAAACAAACTGCCAGTGGGTTTGATAATTTGCTTACTTACAAAATATTGCAAAATGGTTTTGTTTTACTAGCATGTGGTAGGCCTTTAACGAATATACTTCATAAGAACAGTATTGAAAAATTTGTTGTTACGAATAATAATGTGCGGAATCATTAATAGAACAGATTATTATTTCGGTTTCAATTTCCATTTATGTTCCTAAGGTTTTGAGATAGATTGTTATCGTTCTTAATTTTAACACCCGAGACATCTTTGAGACTTTACATACAACGTAGGTAACTGCTCTTTAGCAGTGATCCAATCTGAAAAATATTTCGAAGTTTTGGCACCCAGTTATCTGGAGTCATACGCCAACTGCATAAAAAAGTCTTTATATCAATTCTTGCACTGTTAACAATAAAGCACATTTTTAGCCAGGTTGGCGGTTCCACTTAAACTGTTTCCCCCTTCACTCGAATAGGGATCTGAAGATAATGGAACCTATCCAAAGGTGGGCCATGAAATCAATCCTGGGATTCAAACGGGAACCGGATGAAGAGAGTCCTAAGTCATGATACCTCTATCCATTAGTGTACATGCCTCTCTGAGCTTCTGATGAATCATAGCATCCTAAATAATACTGTATAATCTTAAAATACTTACTAATACCTAAGTAGGACACAAAACCCAGGAGTAACGCTTGTAAGTTAAAAATGTAGCATAGAGAAATGAACTATAGGCACACCTATGCTTTACGAGTAATTATACTATGTAATTGGTTGTCTGATGAGATGTTCCTAACGACTGGCAATAATCCACCCGAAAGAAACTTGATATATTTTAAAGGACTCATGATACTGTAGCACTATAATTTGAAAATATTTTGAAGATATCACGGTTAGAAATATACCTAGGTTCTTATGGAAGCTCGGGTCCCTACCTTTGTCCCAATTTTTCTCTCAGAAAGACTAAGATAGGACTAGCCAGATGTAATAGGTGTATTTGCTGGCAGTTTCGTGGTATTAAAAGAACACGGAAACGTGCAAGAGAATATGACGAAAGTACAGAGCAGAAAAAGCAAGGTGGAGACCCCAAAGAGGAGAAGCGTGATAATGAAGTACGAATAAACAGAATGTTTGGTAAAACATTCACTGGCTATAGTAATTAATGCTACCATTTAACCAGTCATGATTTTCTTCGTAAAAGTGAAATCACTACAACTTCATGGTCACTTTATTCGTAAATAATTAAAGTCTTCCTTTTCATATCTGGGATTCGGAAACATTAGGAAGCCATTCGAATCATGGACTGGAAGGGTGAAATTTCGGACATACAGGGAAGCATTCTTCCAGAATTGGAAACACATTGTGTTAAATTGTGTTAAAGAACAGTGTAATATTCTTTAGAACCGTTTCTTAACCAGATAAATTGCTTTCTTCTTGGGATAACTGAGAAAGACGCGTATTTAAACTTCTTTGACTGTTCGTCCGAATCCAGAAGCCACTCAAAATCCACAACAGTTATAACAAATTGTTTCTGCACACATAAGGGGGATTTCAATTTACGAATAGCGAAGACTTCCTTCAACATTTCTGTACAACGTTTTGAATGCTGTCTTGATGTCAATCTTGTGCCCTGTCTCAATTATGTGTTTTTCGATCGATGAACATGGTCTTATGCTTCTTACGTTTATCGAGTCAGCTGAAGTTAACTGATTTTGAAACCACTTGGGTACATGTTTCACTACCATTGATTGCAAAGTGCAATTACTCCTCCCTATGTCGGTGTGTCCACACAAACATGTAAATTGATAAATGCACTGGGATGTGAAGTAATCATTCGAGCAATGTTTAGGCCTATATGAAATCATGGGCTTAGTCTCTTCAGTAATAATAAGTTTAGCAGCGTAGTATGTTTTCTCTATGGCTGCTTTTAGTCGCTGTCTTAAGATTAGACCATTTGATTCTCCTACAATTGATAAAGTGAAATAAACACTTTTCTTTTCAGCAGAGTAAAAAGCAATCCTTTGTCTTAACTGATATCTACATCTATTGATAAACTTTAGGGGGGAGCCGTTTGAAACCGATGTTTCAGTCAAGAATTTTGCATCACAGAACCTGCAAGGCGGGACAAATTTGGACATCATGAGGATTTCAAACCTTCTGATGAGTTTCAACTTCGTTTATTATAAAGGTGACTGAATAACGAATAATGTTGATTCAGCACCACACACACAGCGAAATTACATCTTCTTGAAGTTTTGACTTGGAATCCACATTCTACATTTATTTTTATGATCTGCTGTTCCACGACATGTGACTGTAACACACTCGTTTATGGCACTTGCGGACATTGTTCCCCTTACAGGATGTTCCACGTAGGTCTTGGAGTAAGAAAGATCTATAATTTAAACATCACTTTGATAGAGTGGGTAAAAGTGGGCAAACAGAAGTAACAAACCAACAAACACTAATGTTAGGAGAGATGATTTCAATCTACTCATAAATGTGGGGTATACCAATTTATTTTCCTTCAGGCCCTCAAGATTGGTGTCAAGGCAGTCATTCGATCATAATAGGGCTGCTCTTTCATGCTTTCTACTTCTTAGATTCATATTCGTTCTACGGTTTTCCCAGATCGACCCTTAAAAAATGACTAGGTGATTGTCATTCAGTAACAGCTTTCAATAAGAATGATTATAAAAAAGTAACTCAGTGATAAATTTATCCGGGCACTTAAGCACTTAACGTTTCTATCTTCCGTTTCTGAAATTCATAAGCATTTACGCACTTCGTACTTCAAACTTTCTTTCATTAATTAACAACACACTAAATTTAGTTCCTGAGATTAACCGTCAGTTTCTTCAATGATAGTGTTGTAGTTGGGATGGTTGCCAAGTAAAAACTCCCAAACGAATTTGAACCACAGAAAGTCAACTATAGAATAACGATATTTATTGATTGGAAGTCGCGTGATATCAAAATAATATCATGTGTTCAGCCAGACGACCAAATAATACGAAACGATCAATAAAGCCACAGGGTTGGCGAGGTTAGCGAGATTGTCGCTTGAATTATGACTTTAAGTACAGAAAAACAGAAGATGTACAATAAAACAGTTATTGTTACACATGTTCAATAATAAGTATTTATATGTCAGCAATTATGTTTTCTTCAGAAAATAGTTCAACTACAGGAGCCCTACCTTGTAAATCGAGATTTAATGCTGGACTGGTCCAACTCACTAGTGGGATCCTCAATTTTCCTTCTGATCCCTCGCTAGAAAAAGCAAAGACCTCATTCTCACGTCCAGATCAGCAGACCACGCCACACTTGACTGCGGATGAGAATGCAGGCTCATGAGGTACGCACGAGGTTACTGTCTCGCGTTCCGGTCGCCGCGTACGCCTACCTGTACGCTTTCTCGACTAACTACCAATCAACCACGGTCGCGGCATAGGATTTTACCCTTATACTACATGCGTGCTACACTTTTCTCCTTTTCTTTGGTTTTTTTATCCGGAGCCTATACCTCCGACAATTGCCGTGTTGGTACAGTCGACTTCAGTCAACCTTGGTGATAGCTGGCCTGATCACCCACGCTCTTGTCAATGCACTCAGTCGATTTTCTGGTTACGAATATATCTGGTATACGAATGGTTTCGCACTGGTCGTTTCTGGCTCCTTCGCTCAATCTGGTTCCGTCCTCCGTCTGCAGCTTTATCTGTCCTAACGCCTACGAGCGCAATCTTCAGACTCTGGATACGAGCCACGCTAGTGTGGCATGCCAATCCGATAGACAAACTTGGCACGTCAACTCGAGCAGCAAACCTGGCACGTTACTACTGGTACAGTTCAACGTAGAAGACTGCCGGTGACAACACGAGCTTCACTGGTCAGTTCCTGTTCGTCAAACCTTCCGCACTACAATCAAATAGTGGCCGACCAGCCACTCTCCGAACGCAGCCGCTATGTATCGAAAGTGTGAACCCTTTCTAGGCGAGGGCTGCTGTAGTGGAACGCTTCTATGAAGAAAATACGATTTGTGAAAAATAAACATAATGATACTCGCTTTGTTTAACTGTACCAAAAACACTTCTTCTCTTCGCGTTGCTGCCATTTTTCCAATCCTAAGGTTCTCCTTCAATAAAATACCCAACCATGGATTTATTTTGATTTTACTGACGGTGGGATATAATGGAACATTTAGTGATAAGCATAGTCAATCTGGCATCTTGACTCGCTATGATAATTAGAAGTATTTGAATTATAGCATGAACTAATAATCCCAGAAATAACGTGAGTGGATCAAGAGCTACTAGATAAGCACAAAAGAATGTACTATATTTAGAATTCGAAATCAGGCATTCAACAACCAAGAAGTCACTAGTTCGTTCGAACACCACACTCGCTCACTACAATAGTTTTATTCTATAGACAGCAATCAGCTTAAATTTCACCTACCAACTAAATATACTATAATTCGTTTTACTTGAGACAATTTTACTTTTTGGACTACTTGTAGTTATCAGCTATGTTGCTCGTTTTCCACTCCCCTCTTCTCAGAACCTCCATTTCAACTGCAGCAGTGGAGCTTCCATTCAAACGTGAAAGTTTAATTTTAACTAAGTTCAGGAGGTATTATTTTTGGATGGAGCCTAATAGCTGTATACTAATTGCACGGCACCATTATATAAACCCATTTGTAAACTAGTGAGCATATCTCTATGAATGCCCCGTAATTCATTTTCAATGATTTTATCTATTTAACCTGATTGATGTCATTTGTTAATCCGTACTATAAGTTATTGATCCTAGCTGTAATATTGGTGTTAACCTGCTGTGTCAGAAATGGATTATTGATATGATAGACATTAGACTATGCTTCTCCTACGCGTCGGAGTTCTTTCCATTTAGTTTAAAATTCAGAGCAACTCATGATTCGTCGAAATGCATCTGGTTAGGTTGATAGATAAATCTTTTAAACACAAAATGGAACAAGCTGTACTGCGTAAGTAAAAAATAAAACAAACAGGCGACTACTGAATTACAAATTTATTAACTGTTGTATCGATGACATCAGTGAAAGACGATGAAGGTTGAAGATTGTAAGAAATTTACTTTTTAGGTTCGTATAAAATTATGATTTATGTAGAATAATAGTCTCAAGAATCGTAAGCCGTTATCCTCATTCATGTCACTTTCTTATCCGGATCTAATAATATATCCAACAACATTAGTAAACCTACGGTTTGTAGTAAAGTTTACGATCTAACAACCGTGACAAAATGTAAGCTTTATGCTATCTGCAAAACAATTTGTGATTTTCGTACATCAATAGATTGTGTAAGTATGTGAACAAATGAAACCATGATAGTGCACAAAAGCAACTAAAACCTTTCGAACTATGAGTGTTTTGCTGCGTGTTGTCCGTGATATGTTATTAATTAGATGAAACAAAGATATTAATGCGTACAAAACTGCGACAGAAAAGAAAACTTATTTATCTCATCTGGTCTCGATATCCTCGTTCATTATATTTAGTGTCGCAACGACTTAATATACTAAGACGTTTTATGAACATGTATTGTACATTGGTAATAGCTGATGTGAAATTAGCAAAATGAAAAAAATGATCAATTCCTGATATTCTGCTGAAATGGTTGTTTTTGATTCTTATTAATTACGGAAACTATATATGGAACGTATTGGAAATTTGTGAATTTATTCATGGACTAATAGTGTATATTTCGATGGCTACTTTTGTGTATATAAATCTGTTGCAACACTGTTGAATTAGACATCACCATTCGCTTAAAATAATTCAAATTTTAAGGGAAAAGTCATAGGACCATCAAAACTCTTGTGATTTATATTTCGGAACGAAATAAAAATTATTCAAAGGAATAATAAAAAATACATTACACTGTGTAGATAAAAAAAAGCATCAAGTCTACAGTAATTTATGAATATATTGGTCTAATTACATTTCTATGTGCTGGTATTGTTAGCTTTCCAGATTTCATTGAAGTCAGGATACAGTTTAATGCTTTCGCCTGTTGAAAACCAAAAGCTGCTTGAATTTCAGCCGTACTTAATTTCGATGAGGCGCTGCTGTCAGCTCGTCCATTTGCTTCAGTACGCTTTGGGGTTTCAGGTATAAATTCAAATAATGTGTAACTCCATATCAATGAAAGATTGCCTAAATCCATCTTATTTTGCGCTTTATAATTACTTACCCTAAAAAAATAAATGAGTTCATGATTGTTACAACAAATAAACATGACTAGATGTTATTTTGTGAAATAGTACAATCAGAGGTCTCCCAGCAAAATGTATAATAATTATATTCAAAATCGTACTGTTTTGTAGTTAGTGTTGGAATATCAGTGATATTTAACTTATGCTGTGCAATGTCTGAGTTGATCAATAGTATTTAGTAAGATTAATAACAAGGCATATGACAGTGTGACTCACAAGTGTAGTTATAACCTCAAATCCTTCAGATGATAACCAACTTCGTGTAAAATTAAATCAAGTTAGTATTATGTTCTCTTGTTTCATTGAGTACGCTCATAACACTATCAATATGAACAGTAACATTATCAATTCAGTTTGAAATGATTTGGAATAACCCGCTGTTACTGAAATTCGGTTAGTCATAGTCGACATATAGTCATCTTGTGCAGATTATCTTGATATAGCCATAATGACACAAGTTGATGCATAAAAGTTGAAATGTGGCTAGCATTGTAAACCAATACTTGCGTTTCATCTCATTTCGTAAGCAGTCATTTTCATTAATTATAAACCTTTAAAATCACTCAGTGAACTGCAAACAAGTATACCCTCATTTGTTTTAGAGACTTTAGTTATGTTCATCATATTCGGGTCAACATTTTTAGTGGCTCGCGTTAAATTCGACTAAGGATCACCAATTTAGTTGCCCGTAATTTTGACTTCAATATGGACGAATGATTGAGTATGAGATGAAATAAATCTTCCTTTCCGTTTCCATTTATTATACTTCGATAAACCCGGTTTATGCAACGGTGGTAATAAGTAGTCAAATACGATGTTCATTTAAGCAGACGGACATGAGAACAAAAAATGTACAGGTAAAGAGAAGAGAATTGGAGAAGGCGAGTGAGCCAAATCCCATGCTTAGACGCAATGACGAAGTATTTATAGTTAGGCTATAATAGGCTAGACATGTAATAAGCGAATCAGCATGCATACACACAATCACATATACAATAGTTGATACTGTAATCGAATTATTACAAATATAAAAAGAATAGTTGATACAACTATCGAATAATTTAAACGATTAATCATTCAAGTTAGTATAATGAATAAATGGCGAGGTGCTACAAGACTACCAAACAGACTGGAATAATTACAACTTCGTATATTGTACATTGTAGTGTGTACTAATATGTCGAGCCCATAAAGCTTGCTCAGTTTTTGGACTAATTAACTAATCCATTCTTCTCCAATTATCATTCACAAGTTTTTGCTTGAGTGTTTATGTGCATGTTTATTTCGCTTACTACATGCCTAGTCTATTTTCGGCTGCTATAAATAGTTATTCCTCACTGCACCGAATTGGCTCAATCACCTCCAATTTGGTTCTCTCAGCTTTTACGTTCAACATTTCATTGCCTGTCTGCTAACGTGAATGTTTGAAATAAATTTATTCTCATAAAACCGTATTAGGCTTTTAATAACATCAGTCTGACAAGTGAGATTCGTCTAAGTATTATATATGGAAAGTGAAGGAGAGATTTATTTCATGGTATACTTAATTATTCATACAAATCGGCGTCAGACTGCGGGCAACTAAAGTGGTGAGACCTACTTCATATTCAATAGAGCCACTAAAATATCTTTGTAACAAATAATTGACACTTACGTGATCAAATGATTTGCTAAGTAATTGAATGTTTCCAGATTTGGAGTGGGAAGGCTGTAAAGGATTTCTTTGATGAGGTCATAACGAATCGATTCATCAGAAATTTCTAGTGATAAAAGTGAATGAGAAGAAAAATGAGTTGATAAAGAATCTCATAAAATCTTAGATACAAAGTTTAGTACAGAGTAAATTAAAAAATATCAAAATTAAGAAGGGTAATCTGTTGTTCGTTAAAGCCTCATACTTTGAGTGTAGGACATTTCAGAAGAGGAAATAAAAAATTCAACAAGTTGATGTTATTCATTCTTCAGTATATAGTTTTGATATCCCCTTATGTTTGAATATTTAAACTCTGATCTTTGAAGTGACTGGAGGCTGGGATAAAATTACAGAGCAATCATTAACATAAAATGAATTATTGATATATATGATGAACAAAAATCAAAACACAGTATCACAATAGGTTTATCAGTAGACTAAAACATAATCAAAAAATTTTCTAAATGTATTAATCAATTTGACAAATGAACAAGAGTTTGTTGGAGTAATATGCAGTGATGAGAATCACATCACGATTGTAGATGGTTTTATCAACTGTAGAATACAAAGCAATGGTATTATGAGGCCTTAAGTCTTCATTTTACTCCACTTCTGTACTTTGTGTTTTTTGTTAATGATATTAAATAACCTTATTGCATTTATTTCACACCACGTCTACAACGCCTTATGTTTGCTACGCTGAACTTCATACTATTTTAAAGTTCGATAATCAGCAATCACCCACTAACTTATTAGTATATCTCATACACCCCTCCTTATTAGTATGCAAAACCTATTAAAACTGTTGCTTTTCAATACAATGCTCAACTAACACGTATCCTTATGGATCAGATGGCTGAATACAAGCTATACAAAGCCATAGACGCCTTTCAGCAGATACAGTTCAACCAAAAGAAACCAGCCATAAGATGTCCATGTACATGATTTATCCTCACCTAGAATATACTTTCTTGAAATTTAGTTGTAAGTTCTTATGAAGACAAACCTTAGAATGTAGACCTTACATTGACACTTTTAAAAAATAGGCCACAAAAAAAAAATCTACACGCATCGGAAAGTATTTGAAAAAGATAAGAAGTTTACTTTTATGAAAGCAAAGTAGTGCATATAAATTATTCCTACTGAATTCACTAATTTAAAAAAGAAATACAAATTCATTTAGTATCCATAAACTCACCGACTGCTTGAAGCAAAGATATAGTGGTTTTGCGGTCAATCAGACTCTCTGGTAAATGCTGAAAGAACTGTTTTAATAAGCTAGTAATCACCGGTAAATCAACTAGCGATAATCTTTGAATGGCTAAAGTGCAACCTGAAGAGTAAATGAAATACAATCGATAACTAAAACATGTCATATACTTTTTATGCCATCGATTTTTTAAGTTAATCTTGACACTGTTCTCAAGATATATTAAGATCAGATTTTGGTGTTTTTCTTTATATTTTATCTCAGGAAATTCACGTGGTACATAATCATTATTCCATCAGGAAATGCTGCAAGAATTTATGAACCTGAAGATTATCATAAATGCACAATTAACGAAAAGGTTTTTACTTCTACATGCAGTAAAATTTAACCATGTTACCCTAGGACAATTATAAAGTGTTCCTAATGAAGCTATCCCGCTCAGGGAATACACACTACCACACATAATCGCCTTATTTTCAATTAGAGTTATGGGGATTAGTGTTTTTACACATTGGAGATCATCAATCAATCATTGTTAGACCACCATTAAAAACCTGGTAGCACTGGACGGCCGTTTCGTCATGGTATGGGACTCATCAGTGGCAGTGCGCATCCACGACTTTTGCATCCCGCAGGATTCCAACCCGGAACCTTCAGTATTGTGCGCGAACTCTTAACCTCTGGACCACTGAACCGGCCCCCAACGGTGTTAATTTCTAATCACCACAGTTGTAAATGATTATTATTTCTGATCTTCAATTCTTTTCGAATATTCTGAAATCGTTTAAATTTTTTATGTCCATCTCATTGAACTAACAGAAATGAGAGTAATATTGTTTTATTTGATTTCGTTATCAATGATTATATCAGTCACTCAATAAATGCTAAAAATGTACCAGTCTATTGTGGTGCACACTACTTTCGGTGGAGATTGTAATCAGTATGCAGTGGATGTGTATCAGAGTGAAGAAAACTGCTAAGAATATGCTTTTTTTTGCCAATGGATGTTTTATTAATAGGTGTTATACATTTTCGGTTGTAAATTGTCTTCTTCAGAAAATTAGCTCATCCTATCTGGGTTTCTGTATTGCTTCACTACATTACAAGTAGCTTGGTAGAGTTACACAGTCTACTGAAAGTTGAACATTTTCAGTTGATTATTTATTTAGTAATTTTGACGGAAGCATCCTATCAAATGTAGGCTAGAGAATGGAGATTTGAGCGCATTGTTTAGAATTTCTAATATCTTGTTCAGGAAGTTATTGCTATTATTTTTAAATTGCGATTCGTAAGTACAATAAGGAGATTGTCAAAATTTCAACTAGTTAACAGTGAAGTTAGCGGGATTACAAAAACAGGACTAAAATACAATTGTTTATTCAAGATGAAAGCAGATCTCACTGGCATTTAGATGACGGGAATCACTCTCAAGTTCAGATGGTTTCATACTGGTAATAGGGTTTATTAATATCATCAACAATTTGTAGTGCCAAACTTTGCACTTTTCCCATAATATGCACATAAAAGTTATTCCTATGATATTTCTATTTTTGGTAATCTTTATTAAATCCTGAATCGATGTTAAAAATCATTACTTTAACTTATATTTGATGTTTTAAAACCGAAATCTTAAAACTTCATTTCTATTTAACTACATTTTGATGTTTAGAACCATTATTCACATATTGCTTTTATGACTGAGATGAATTGTTTGATAAACAATTTTCAAATATTAAAAGAAACAAATATAATATTCTTTATCAAGTTGTATAAAATACTAACGACTATAATTAAGCAATCTGCACAGGATGACTGGCCATCATCAAATTTCAGTCAAACTATCAACATTTCAAATTGAAGCTAAGTCTCATACTTGTTGCACAAACTTCAGTCCATCTCGACTTAGTAACCTCAGTTCTAATCGTTATTATTGTAAAATATTACTAAGCTTTGACTTTTTGTTATTACGTATGAATATGATCATTTCGATTATGGTATTTTGATAGTATTTTCATGAAATAATCAATGAAAAAGGAAATTAAATAAAAGATATGAATATTTAATGAGCGATGAGCTAGCTGTATAACTATCATTCCGAATGCATATTTATGATTAAATAATCTTTTGAACAAACAGAAATAGAAATACTTCTCACTTTCATCAAATTCACTTTTTAAAGCTTTGATATTATCATTGGAACCACATACTCGGTAGACTCCAACTTCTAATAAACCCCGCCGTTCAATCTCTTCTACACATGCAGTTACTAAACGAGGTATAAAGGCTTCAGATTTATACTTTGTTAACCAATCATTACTATTGATGCAGTTTGATAATCTATAGAAATAAAATGAAACTGGATTGAGGATGAACTCAATATTTGTTACTTCAATACTATTTAGTAAACTTGTTACAACCTAATCTTCTTATTGATGTGATTTCGAACAACATATGTTCTAGTGTGATTTCACGGATCAGCTTTGCTCATAATTTTTCATCACTGAGTTATGGTGATTGTTAAGTTTCATTGAAATAATGAATCGATCATTGTTAGACCACCATTGGAAACCTTGAAACACTGAACAATGGTCACTTCATTATTTCAATGAAACTTAACAATCTCCGTAACTCAATAATGAAACATCATAAACTGTGCTCACTAGCGATTGGCTTCGTGAGAAAATTCTCAGAGTTCTGGTAAAAAATCGTGGTCAACTGGAGTTCAACCATGTCAGACGTAGGCATTAAATACCGAAGACAATGGCTGAGGATGAGCAATACCTTGGATTGATTAAAGTTAGACATTAACACCGTTAGATGCTAGCTCAATTGTCTAGAGGTCAAGCGTTAGCACGCGAGACTGAAGGTCTTGTGTTCGACTTCAGCCAGTGGGGATCGTGGGTCCCATGCTAGGATAAAACGGCCGTTATGTGTCTCCAGGTTTCTAATGGTGTTCTAACCATGATCCATTCACTATTTCAATGAAACCTTTACCATAATTAACAAATTAACCTACTCATTGACTTCTGAGTAGTAATTAATGTAATGTTTGTCTAATTCTTAGTGCTAATCAAGTTACAAAGATTGTGGCCTATAACTTAAACGATTCGATATGGTGTGCAAGCTGTTTTGAACTTAGGTATTTGAGGACAAGTAGCAAGCAGCCTTTATTATAGGCTTTGTCCTACTGGGAAGTCGTCAGAAAAAAGTATTTGTAGTCTTGAGGGAACTACTGCTCCCTATATGATTCCAATCTGAGTCACTCGATCCCACAGTTAGGGGCATTTTCACTGTGGTATTCCGGGAGGGACTGCACGTCCTCAGACAGTTTTCATCATATGAAAAAAATTGTTAATAGTTCATAAGCCCAATATAACTGCTTCGTTGTAGTTAGACATTTCTAGGTTCCCCTCATCTTTAGAAAACTTCTGAATGAAAGTTGATCGTTTCCAGACCAGTCAAGTTTGAAAGATTCAGATAATAAACAACTATGCTCTTGCTGAAGTCAGATTACTTGAAATAAATCATAGTGCATGATGAACTAGAAACTTTAAAGATATATTTAATAAAAAATTGTGCATTTACTTTACAAGCTCTGCAAGAGGACGTCCGAATAGATTTCCACGTATTACAGAACGTCTGTTTTTATTAAGATTTACTTGATCAATATATTGCAGTGATACGGAAAAGATTAACTGTGATTTCAACAAACAAAAAAAGAGTTAGTGTTTTAGATTGTTGTATGTAAGTATGTAACAAATCAAATTTCAAATATGATGAATATAAAAATGAAATGCTTATTTTACAGATAGTAACTGAATCACTATTTGAAAGTCAGTAACCAAGTGCTTCCAGGTTTCTAATGTTGGTCTAACGATGATTGATTGATGATTTCAAATGTGTAAAAACACAAAACCTCCAAAACTCTGCCCGAAAATATCGTAACAATGCTCACTAGTGACTAGCTTCGTGAGGAAATTCTCCAAGTTCTAGTTGAGAAGACGTGACTAATGGAGTTCAACCCTGTCGGGTGTAGGCAGTAACTACCAAAGACAAATGAGTGAGGTCTCGCAAAAATCCGCAGATCAATCAGAGTTAGACATTAACACCGTTGGATGGCGGCTTAGTGGTTCGATGGTTAGGCGTCCCTGCACGTTACCGAAGGTCCCGGGTTCGAATCCTGCAGGGTGCAGGAGTCGTGGATGCGCACTGCTGATGAGTCTCATACCAGGACGAAACAGCCGTCCAGTGCTTGCAGGTTTCTAATGGTGGTCTAACAATGATTGGTTGATGATTTCAAATGTGTATAAACACAAAACCTCCACAGCCGATAAAAGAAAAACAGTAGACCTATACCCTGGCGTTATATTTGAAACGGAATGGACAGTCGGTTGTACAAATTTCTGTCGAATCCGCATTTATAAAGTGTTTGTTGGATGAATAACAATTTTAGAGCAACCACACAGCTGTCGAATTTACATGCTTTAAACTCTTTAGTTTATTTATTTGAAAATTAATTAAAACAGAAAAAACAAGATTAATAAACATCTAACACTATGAAATACAGTGAGTGGCAAGAAAGGGCATTTTATTATTAGATAATTTAATAGTTCACTATAAAATATTTCTCTGATTCACTGAAGAGAAACGATAATCTATTTGACACTTATATTTGGCATTTCATCCATCCTCGTAAAATGGATTTATATGACAAAATTTGTGCAATTTCTCAGTGAACCTATGCGTAAGAAAAGTCATTTGCAACACAAATACATTTGAGAAAAAATTTCTTCCCATAGTTTTGTATTGTTTTTCAAATTTAACATTTCTAATAAACACAATAATAACTACACATGTAAATGTTGAGTATTTCAATCGAGTTTTTCTTTTAAATTCTGTTTACTAATTATAAAGTCATCATAAACTGTATGCGCTTACATTACGTGGAGGATTTTCGTTTGTTAATATCTTCATATTTATTTGTGAATTAGTTTTCAATTGTTTTAAATCTAACTAAAATATATACATAAGAAGAAACAAATGAGTAATATGTATGCTAATTTGATTGGTATTTACATGTTGAAAAAAGAATAAAAAAAAGACAATTCTACTCATGAATAGTTCATTCTAGTTTCTTTTTTTAATAAACGTTTCAATACTTTATAAGATATTGTCCAACTAGTCATCAATCAAGACTTTTCAACAATCAGATTCATAATTGGTAAAAAAATCCTATTTCATTGGACGCATGTCTTTCAAGTGTTTTAGCATTCGGATAGACTCTGTTTCGACGTAATGACTTCCAATATACTTTAGGATATCTGTTTGACTGAATACAATTGATAGTAAATCCTAAGCTAATCATGTGGGGATCCTGCTGTATTTAAGGCACTCAATGAGTTCCTGAAGTTTAATGCACGTCTCAAAGAAGCGAAGACGAGCTTAGGATTTACTATCAATTGTCAGTCAAACAGATATCCTAAAGTATATTGGAAGTCATTACGTCGAAAAAATCCTAAACAAGAGAAAAAAAATTAGACAACCCAACAAATAAAACTTTCTTCCAGATGATGTCAACTACTAGAGCTGTACAAATGCGTTTATAGCTACTCAACAAAGAGCATTCCATCTAGGTTGATATTAAGAGAAACCTGGAACATGACCGCTAGAAAAGACGTATTTGACTAAGCTGTTAAATATTTTCTATAGTCACAACTTCGTAACAGGATATGTAAACAAATAACTATCGCTTTGGGTCAGTTCATTATTTATCTAACAGTTCAATGGATATTGTAGAACCAACGAACTAGATTTAATCCAAACAAATTTCTGAGCATTAAAAAAAATGTCAATGAATAGATTCATGCTTGAACACTTAGTCAACTTTCCTCAGATACGTAGAGTAGAGTTGTCACTTAAATGTATTTCGTATTTCAAATCAACTGCCCTCAATGTAACATGTTACAAAATAAAGGCATAATATAAACTCTATTGAATTGCCTGTTTTAGCTTATTGTCTATTTTTCAAATTAAAATGACCAAACTGTCAGCGTCACTTGTTCACTTCATTAATCTATATAGTTTTTTTATATTTGTCAATTAGGACAACTATCCTTCACAACTGTCATCTGCAAAGTATTTTTTTACAATCTACAAGGAAGCAGCTTTGATCAGTTGTTCAATTATATGATATTAATCCATTTCATCAAATACCTAAACGTGCTAGTTAACTATAAATATGATTGTACAGTTTGAATCAATAACATCTTTTAAAAACAAAATTTTCTTCTTAAAAATATGATTTCTTCCTCGTAGAACCATTGTTTTTTTTTCACTGGTTATGCGCTGTTGTATTACACTATACCTACGTAACTTTCAAACTTGGAGAACTACGAAAGCCATCAACCAGAAGATACAAGTATTCATTAACAGTTGTCTACGCAAAATACTTTGAATTCGTTGGCCATACAACATCAGCAACAACCTACTGTGAGAGAGAATAAACCAGATTACAGTGGAGGAGGTAATCAGGAAGAAGAGGTGGAAGTGGATAGGACACACACTACGAAAAGCACCTAACTGCGTCACGAGACAAGCCCTCACATGGAACCCTCAAGGTAAAAAGAAAAGAGGAAGGCCGAGAAATAGAGAAAGACATGAGAGGAATGAACAAAAATTGGACAGAACTGCAAAGGGAAGCCCAGGACGGAGTTGGTTGGAGAAAACTGGTGGGCGGCCTATGCTCCATCGGGGGTGACAGGCGTAAGTACGTGACGTCGATTCGATAGTTTTGATTGATTTGTCAATGACACAACATCCTTCGATTGATTGTAGACTACAATCTGTTAACTAACTCTAAATATGACTGTCTATCTTTTAGTAAATGACATGGTTGGTAAGGAATTGATAGTCACTGTTCTTTTAACGATGCAGTGTTTCATTTATGTTTAAAGAAATTTAAAACTTTTTAAAGATAACTGGTCACTTCCCTGTTTGGTGTATTAAGTTTTCACGTGAGCGTTTAATAAAATATTTCCTTAGTTAAGTAATACTTACGGGAACGTCTAATTCTGCTAACATTTCTTGATGAATATACAGTATAAAACAGATTGTCCATGCACCATCCACTTCTAGATCAAATGACTGTCAATGAAATAGAATATCGAAAATAATGTGTTTATAATGATTTGTAAATCAAAGAAATCTACAAAATAAAATCTACTAACTTAAAATTTTATCAGTAATCAAATCAAAAAAGAGTTTTTGTTGCTTGAATCTATAGACATTAATGGGATTCAATGTGTGAAGGATATTAATGAGTTTGAATTGAAGCTTATGCAAGACAATAAAGAATTCTAGACAATTAGGTAAGTATTTTTTAAAAGAAAATTAGATGAATCTGAATTTTTTTTGTTAATTTCAGTTGTATTTTTGTGTATTAAACCTAAAAGACGGTATAGATTGATGTAAGTTGATGATTGTAGGGGTTCTAATAGTTTAAGGACAGTTTTAGTAAAAAACAACTTCAGATAGATGTTTGTGCTGATGATGTTGTTCAGAAGAATAATGAAAGCTCCACAACCAAAACATTCAGCTCAGAGAACGAAACAACACCACAATCATCAACCTGAACTACAAATTTTCTCTACCATCTCAAAAGCAAACCTGTAGTGGATTAGTCTGATTTATATTTCTTTCAGCAAACCGAATATACTCATTGAGGTGTAAAATAAGAGAGATTTCCTTCTTGTTTTATGATATATTTGTAGTAAGCTTTAATCACATGTTTAATTTCTATTGTTAATTGTTTTGTTGTGTTTAGCAATAGATAAATTAATGAATATGAGCATTAGAAATATTGTTACCTGTTCCCATTTTGGATTACTTTGTGGTATAACTCGCGTGCGAGCCACTTCTTCATATTGACCATACGAATCGACTTCAATACGAACATGATAACCTAAGTTTTGAATTAAAATAAATCCCAAAAAATAAAATCAACTGAAATAAATTTACCAATTTTGAAAACGACAAAATGAAAACCTCAAATCAGAAAACCTTGCTTTTTTCAAAAGATTAAATCAGCCAGTATTCGTTTCACAGGAATAGAAGAAGAAAGGGTAAAATCCTAGAATAATAGTAATCGAGAGGCGTAAGACCAAAGATCCTGGGTTCGAATCGTGCGAGTAGCAGGAGTCGTGGATGTGCGCTGCTAATAAGTCCTATACCAGGATGAAACGGCAGTCCAGTGCTTCCAGGTTGCTAATGATGGTCTAACAATGATTGACTGATGATTTCAATGTATAAAAAACACTAATCTCCATAACTCTAATTGACGAAACAAGCAAACAAGTATTTAGGGTTCACATTGGTATGAGCGCGAGCGAAAGGACGCATATTTCTAAAAGTAATCATTGAAAGGAGGAATAATATTCATGCTAGTGTGAAATATGTTCAATGCAACGTCTGTCTATTTGACTTACAACTTAATTACGATCGGGTATTTGTAGTGAAGATGTAATGTTATTTGAAATAAATTTGTATCTATTTATTGAGAAATGAATCATTTGATTATAATTCAATATATACTGGTGGGAATAATTTATTGTATCAGGAATCACTCTTTTAGGCTGACGAGTTATCAGTGTATCGGGGAGTTTACATCAAAACTTCAAACGTTAATACCAATTGTCTGCTTATTAATGACTGTTACCACACCTAGACTGACGAAAATTATGAAGACTAGTATATAAGTTCAAAGATCAAAATAAAATTGGGTAACGAGCAAAAAGTAAGAGAAAGATAATAATAAAATAAAAAGAAATATGTGGAAGATAGATATCCACTCAAAGTATGGGATATGTGAAAGACAAAGGATCAATAAGCGATTTATTGTGTGAAAAATTAGGTATGGGAGTTATGATATGATAACAGCTTGATGGATCACTTTCGTACAAATAGCTCAGGTTTGAAATGATGAACTACTACCGCCTCCTTCGCAGCGACATCATTCATAAGATATTTGTTTTAATGTAGTGCTCCACCTGATATTTTCCATCTGCTAATCTAATAAATATTATTTCAAACCTAGTTATTTGGCTCTTATTATTACAGAAGTCAACAAATGTCACAATAAAATTCATTCAGATTCTCTGGAGAGCACAAAGACAATGTTGTCAGGACGAGTGCCGAGTACGAATTTTGAATTTCAATAGAAATTTATGTTTTAGTTTTTAATGTAAAATTCTCCTAATATTTCGCAAACATTTTCGAAACACCCCTCTAAGTAGACCATCCTCTAGCTGTTCGAAGTCAACACATGAGATAATATGACTAAGGTAATAATGATAATCAAATACGAAAAACTACAGTATTTGTCGATTGTAGATTCTTCATTATAAGTTTGAAAAAATACGTTTTTGATTGGTCGGAAAGCATAAAGGACAGAGGATAAACCAAATGTATTTCACACCATTAAGAATGTTATGCCTCCTTTAGGTGATCACCTCTATTAAAATGTGCCTTTTTTTATTGGATATTAGTATTTAGGACTCTAACGTTAATACATGGAATCAGATTTAGTAATAAACATCAGTACTATACGGCACAACATTCTGAATTAAACGTTTAAGTTTAATCGTGATTGATTTCACCTTGTTTGATGTTTTGTATATGTAAATGAATATGGCCCAGTTCAAAATTTTAATTTCTCAAAATCAATCGATCCTGGGCATAGATTTTATAAGGTTTAATTTGATCACATATCCTGGAATTAGTTACTTAACATTCACTTGGAATTTCATGACTACTACATAACGTGTCTAATTCTTTTATACTGACAGTTTCTGATGGAAATGCAATCCGAAACGTTAACTGGCTAGTTACCAATGTAGCATAAATCATTTTAGGCATATTATTGTTGGTACCAATCACAATATATGATATTTAAACAAAGATGTTTTGTTGCCAGTGATTGAATAAAAATTATATGCTAGTAAAAGTAAAGGCATTAAAATTTATATGTACCGCTCAAAAAACGGGCTCATTAAAAGTAGATTTTCTTTTTACCGTGTGTTATGGAGATTGTGGAATTTCATAATTAAAATTATACACTGATCTTCCTTAAATAACTGTTGAAAACTAGGGGAGGACTAGACAACTATTCCATTCATGCCAACAATGAAATAGTCCATATAAAAAAGTGTAGATAACTGATATTTCAATCAAAATCCTTGACAAACATCATTTTCATAGAGTAGTAAATAAATGCTTTAGAACAACTACTTGAAGTTTTCTTACATAAAATTACCACAATAACTAATTTGTTGATTGTAATTAGAATTAAATTTGATTTATACTAACAGATCAGAAATGGAAATAATCCGATGGAAAGAACTTTTTTCTTTATTTTCAATGATGCAAACCACTAAAGCTATGCAATCGTATTTATGGTCGAAATTTGAACAACTTAATTACCGATAATTATTCTTGAACAGCAGTAAATTCATGTGCACTCTCGTAAAAGTTTATTTATCAATGGAAGAAAGCTTTTGAAGTATACAATACAAGTTTAGTAACAATGAATAATATCACTGGGAAATTATCAATGAATCTTACTGTTTTTTTCACTCAATCCACTAATTCCATGCACTGTAGCCTTGATATAACCAGTTATCGGTTCATCTTCTGTTAAGCAAATTTTAAAAAGAATATGTAGCTTTGATAAATGAAACATTTCGTGATATTTTTTTCCGGGAAAAGTAGGTTTTAAAAAAAATCATCGATCGTATTTCGAATTATTTTTCTCTTCCTAACTGTTTGTCGATCATAAATTACTGTTATCTTTACAAGTTTTTAATTCTTCCTATCCAGTTTAATCGATTCAAGCATACTTTCATCATCTAAACAATAGTTGAAATAATTTACTTCATTGGTCTCATCACAAGATATTCTTTAATTCATGTATACAATTACAAAAAATTTACTATTCTACAACTAATGCTGTTTTGAGAAAAAACAAATTAAGGTAAGACATTAATACCGTTAGATACAAGCTCAGTGCTCCAGAGGCTAGGCGTTCGAGCGCAAGACCGAAGGTCCCGGGTTCGAATCCTGCGGGGTGCAGGAGTCATGGATGCGCACTGCTGAGGAGTCCCATACCATGACGAAACGGCCGTCCAGTGCTTGCAGGTTTCTAATGGTGATCTAACAATAATCGATTCATGATTTCAAATGTGAAATCAACAACATAGTTCAACATTAAATTCGAATTGAATGCCCTGCAAGCGATGTAATGTTAGTAATATATAATGTGTTATCTGATTGATTCAAATAGATGACGAAATTAACACCAAAATGTCGTTTCACTTCTTAGCATTTACACGTTAGGATACACATTAGATTATTCATTTTTGAGTAAATATTTTAACGTCATAAAATTTGACTATCCCCACAAATGCTTAAGTTTGTACAAAATTTCAAAAAATGATAAAATATGATTTAACATGTTTTTTGTTGTTGTACACAATTGTGTTGGAACTAATTGCGATTAGTTTTTGATCAGTTAATTTGATATAGTCTAAAAATAGATAACACGTTCTATTAAATCATTTTGATGCTAAACTCCATTTTCAGCCTTAAAAGATGAACAACTCATTTAGATTAAACAGATTAGTCTAACACTCTGATATTCCAATGAGAACTTCGAAATTATTCAGACATATTGATACACATTGTTTTATTCAAAGAAAAGCTTTTCTTTCGATTAGGATATTCAAATCAGAGTGTAACCTTAAAATCTTCGGCTCCAAAAATGCACATCACTCTAATACATTTGAATAAAATAACCAGTAGTTTTATAAAAACTATTCATGTTGAAATAATTTCTTCATGTATTATTATAACCCTAGTCAGGATTTTTCAAATTGTTTCGAACTAACTATTTTAAAAATGAAGAAATTGTATCTGTTATTCAGCTCGACCATATTGGAATTTGTCCTGTTGAAAATAGTTTACCTAACACGGATAAGTCACCTAAGGGTCCACCTGGATTCTGGACGTACAGTTCATCAATTTATTCCTGATTTTGAACTACCTCGCTGTTAATATATAATCGATTTCAATATATCTGATTCTTACGGTAACCATCATAATAACCTAGTTGTCCTTGGTTCTTATAAAACAGTCCGTTCCTACGACCAGATATCCCAGATTCAGAAGCAGGATGCACTAGCTAATCTTTTTTAAGGAAGAATACGCATACACTAGTTACATTTTGAACAAAATAATGCACCAGTCAAATATTCAGTTTATCATTAAATTTTGGAGATGGACAACCCAGGTGAATGCTTCTGAATTTGTCGAGTTCTCTCGCTGTCATTCTAGACAATATCATCGGCAGTCACCTTTATACAGAAGTGAATATTAGTTATCCCATGAGTCTCAGAATGAATAAATGTTTAGATGTGTTACTTATTCTATGTCTTGAATAAAGAATTACTTGAATCTAATACACTATTATTATGTCAGGGTTATGTAAACCTGTTACTCATATTGTTGATGTAAGTTGATCAGTATTTGTTGATATAACCAGGTTCTTTGTTACATTTCAATTTAGGTTACAAGTTACATAGAGTATATTTATCGATGCTATCAGGACGATTCCATCAATGAGATAGTCCATACCCATTTTAATAACCATTTCAATATCTTACACTTTGAACAAGTTGGTAGCTATCTGAACTCACTGGTTCAGTGGGTCACTCATTGGGCATCAGCAGCAAAAGGTAGTGACAGGTTAGATTCACCATGTGAATGTCAGTATCTAGACAGGGAGCCCAAAATGAGATGAGACTGTCTTCTCAGATTGTACCGCTAGTCAAGACCTATCTATTCTACTGCTCAATTTAATTGTTTTCTTAAAACAAACTGTAGGCAAAATAGAGAGTAATCGCTTAACTTACTTCCAATTAATAATGCCAGACCAACTTTGTTCAATTTGATCATCTGAGAAAGGAAGAAGAAATAGAAAAAAACCCGTCACGTGGAAATGAATACATTTCTTAGTAATCACATGAACAAAACTCGCTTGAGTTCAGTTTCATTAAAAGAAAACAAACAATAATTCAGGGTGAATTATTTAGTTTTGAAAAATTCTATTAATTCTTCACACTATTGATCGAAAAAGAACAGAAATTCAATAACGTATTGATTATTTGTTGAATTTTTATCTTTATTCTCTAAATATTTTCTTCATTTATAATATATTCTTAAAGTTTGGTATGCTAGTACAATTAATTGGAGAATAATGATAATAGTGTTTATTCTTTTTATCTTAGCGAAAAGAAATCAAACGGATAATTTTATCTGGTTGACTTTGTGAACTGATTTAATTTTATAACTAAGCATATATATGCCTGCATAGAATACAAGTCTGCAATGAGTTCAGCTTGATATATGTTATGAAAAAAGTTTGAAATACCATTGAAAACCAGGCGATGATGCATAGTTATTCAGCCTTGAGCTCTGAGTTTATGCTCGAGTTGAGTACAGTGTGAACAAATAACAAACTAGCATTATTTGATTTTTATTGACATGTCAGCTGATGCCCACTAGTAGTAAATATTATTTTCATATTAAACAATCCCGCCTCACTATTGTTATTTTAATTCATACAAATTGATTTGAATACACAAAGTGGACACGTATCCCTGTTGTGTAGCCAGGGCTCTGTTTTATTTGTAACGATCACTGGTCATAGTATATGTTTTTCAAGATGTACTTTACCAGGGTTTCTATTCAATGATGGCTACTGTGCAATATTTCATATTGTTACAAGGATTTATTTGAAATATGCAATTACTAATAATAAAAATAAAATATTGGTAATATTTTTTATTGGCATACAACAAATATATTGTTTTTATTATTAACAATCTACCCAATGCTTAATTGATGTGAACTTATCAGGTCAAACCTTAAAAATGATATCTATATACAAATACCAAGTTTTGCCAAACTATGCTTGTAATGATGTTGTGTAAGTGTTAAAAATAAACCAGTTTAAAAAAAAAACCTAATGATTTTGCTAACCTTTTACAAGCAATTAGTGTTCAGATGTGACAAATGAGTTCTATCTATGCATGGAACATTTTCAGTTGTAGTTTGGATGATAAAAGCAGAAACTTGTCATTTTTACAAGATTCATTTTTCATAAATTACAAAACAACATAGTTTTAACAAAAGTACTTTGTTGTCCTTTGAATGTCTCATTTAAACTGATTTTGTATACCTTTTTTTTGTAGATGATGCATTTTTGTGTCTTAGACCACTTAATCATAATTATGCCTTAATTATTTTTTTTAGAAATTGTATTTATTTTCTGAAATAGTTATTTCGTTTTCTTTTTTAACCAAGCTATCATCATGCAATCGATCACTAATTCACACTTCATCTTTAGGCTTTAAAATGTACGTTTTCATTGTAAACTATTCTTTTATAACAACCATGTTTTCAGCATTAAAAACAAAAAATTTGACTGTTGCCAACTGTAGCTGACTTCAAAGGAAGTATATGATACTTGGTGTGACTTTGATTCTCTGGGGCTTATTGAATACTAATATTTCTATTCACATATAGATGAAGCTCGATTCATCTTGGAATACTTGTATGAAGTGATTTGACAGGTACTCTAGTGTAATATATTGAAAGACACTTAAGTGAAATGATCTATTAAGCACAGTACTAAAGTAGGAGAACTGAGCCGGTATCTAATAGTGTTAATGTCTAACTTGATCAATTCACGGAGTTGTGCAACCTCCAATGGTTAGGCGTTCGCGCCCAATACCGAAGGCCCTGGGTTCGAATCCTGCGGGGTGCAGGATTCCAGTGCTTCCAGGTTTCTAATGGTGATCTAACATTGATCGATTCATGGTTTCAAAAATGTGTAACTTATTAATCTTCACAACCCCGTAATGTAAAGTAGGAGAAGTTGAATCGACCACGAAATAATTCAAAATCACAAATAAAAAAGAATGAACATGTAGTGAAAAACAAGTGGTCATCTAACTAATGGATACTTGATGAGACAAAATGCGCTTTCCTTAACCCTCTGCTAACTAGTATATGGTTAAAATACAAATGTTTGTTACGTGTTTGATCGTTATTATCGAAAACAGCTAACGTTTGTATCATGAATAATCAGTCATTTCATAGATACTGATAAAATGTAGCTGTAAAAAGGTAATATTAAGTTTACTATCCAAAAAACTGTTATGAAGTACAAATGTATGCTATTTGTAGATACAGTTGTGAGTCAACATCTATCAGATTCTTTATCTATTATTGTGTTTCCTTTGCATAAATATATTTAGAGTGAGGTTATTTCTCTATTTAGAATAATGAGCTAATAAATATTATAAGCATAATTAAGATAACTACGAAATATATTTAGTAATAATTAAGAGTAAGAATTATATACTAATGGTGAATATTCACACTTGCAAAAATATTTTAATCATCCCGGTCACTGAATTGTATATTATTATCAAGTAATTACACCGGAAGTTTAAGCACATTCATAACCACTAAGTGTCGTAGGAATGAGTAGTATTATTATTTGCAGTTCTGGTGACGATTCGACTACGTTTGTATAGGTAAAAATAATACTATTCATTCAACTGCTTCACGGGTTAAGCCCTAACTTGTGAGCCTCACGAACAGACGAAGAGATAGAACCAAGAACACACTACGCCGGAAAATCAGGACAGGCATAAAATAATTCATAGCAATTGAGTAGAAATGGAAAGGAATTCACAGGACAGAGTTGGCTGCAGAATGCTGTTAGGTGGCGAAAGTAAGTAAGTAGTATTATTCATGAGCCTCCGACTACTTGTTAACTTGTCAATTTTCTAAAAGTCTTTTGATTCTAAGTGACCTGACATTGCGCTCAGTACAGGGAGTTATTAGGTGGTTGCATGAAGTCGGAAACACACATTGAACATAAGCTTTATGCTCGCCGATACTCGCTTGCAGGACATATTCGCGACCGTACAGCGGCCCTAGTAATTCTGTGGTAACGTTTCAGAGTACAAAGCCAGTTTGATCCAAATCCCGCTGATAGCCTCAGTTCCCTCAGAATTTCATGTACGTCTAATTGGTGAGTGTCAACATCCTACATCTCAATACAGTGCATGCAAAGCTGAGTAACGTAGATTAGTGACCGCATTCTAACTTGATCAACAGAATTTGATCAACACTAAAGAACTAGACAAAGATGACAACAGTATATCGGTTATTGTCCAATAAATGTTCACAATTTAAGTGAAATAGATTACTAACTTTTATTAAGCCCACAAGTATTGACTTAAATTAAATTAAGCGCTTAAATGCACCGTTAAATAATTTACAAAGGTTCAGCTTCATTCATATCACTGCACTTATAAAAGCTAGATGCTAAGTTAGTGTCCAATCAAGTAAGTTGATAGAGGCGGTTGACCAACTGACGATTGACAAACTTTTTGGAGGATTCAGTATTTTTATATTTATTATTATTATTATTATTTCAAATGCATTAATAACGTAATTATTTCGATTTAAGATTACATGTGAATCATAGTTCGATTAATTGCACTGACATTCTGAGACTTATCCGTACCAATTTAACTTTGTTTTCAGCTTTATTCTAAGGATTAAAGCTTGTTGTTTCATGTACTTGATAGATCATTCGTTGCTTTGCATCCACTCCCGTACTCAGTACCTGGCTAAACTGAATGAATTTAGATTATTCTTACATATACTTTGAATTAATTCTAGTTTCATTTACATTGTAAAATAACCCACGTGTTTATATTTCTTCAAACGTTCACCAATCTCTCCATTCGAAGAACTACGATTTCGAGATACTGAATATAAATAATCCATGTTTAATCTCTCTAGAGTTGTACGTTTTACAGAATTGAGTGCATCAATATTTTGAGGCGATTTATCTAACAACTGTTCTAATGCGGATCGCCAATGTGTCCGTTCTCTCTCAGTTGAAAGAAGAATATTATGAACATGACCTGTCTTGTCAGCGACTGGTAATATGAGTTGCGGTGTTTCCAATACGAGTTTGCCTTCCTATAATAAAAAAGCAATTATTGATCTATTGTGATTTAATAAATATCGACACTGTTTAAATGATTTCTATAAATTTAAACTGTCATATTAGTGGTAGCAGTTGGAGGGGAAACTCAAAGATCTGATTTCATTTCTTATTTCACTGATTCATTCAAGTTCTAATCTCTAGTACACTTCCTCATTGGATGGATTGTTGTAGACATGAAGTGATTAGCTACAATCTAATGTGCATTAGTTTAAAATCTGGAATGGATTTAATCAGTAACTACAGACAGAAACCCAAAAAAAAATTTTTAGGTAAGATCTTGCATAATGCGAAGTATTTCTTCAACAATCATTTTGGACTAGTACATTGTTTTCAACCTTCGACTTCAGCTGCATATTCTATCAAAACAGATGCTACGTTTACAGTCTGTTTCTCATAAATGACGATCAATATGTAGAGGAAGTTAACATGAAAGGTTTCCTTTATTCTTTCCAATCCGATAAACGCTGACAAGAATTTGTAAATTATTGTTAGTGATTGTCCAAGTGGTGTTCATTATTTTCTAAATATACATTCAACAAGCTCTGACTGAATTCTGAAATAACTTAAACACTGTTGAATGAAGTTATAGTTTCAGATAAGTAATTCCATAGGTTGGTAAATGTTCAAAAGACTACTTGTATTTATAAGATGGATTAAATCGATAATCTTTAAAAATGTCTACATTGTAAAACAATCAAACACAAATAAATGCATTTTACTTTTTTCCATATAAGTTTATCACGACAACTGCGGCTGCTGGATCTTCCAAGTGTTCTAAAAGACTTTTAAAAGTATGAGTATATTAGTAATAACTAGTCTAAATTTCAGTGTGAATGTTTGAGTTTTCATGGAGTTATACTTTCAAATTATGATAAAGAACACGGATATCCCTTCAGATAAATTTATTTCCTTTGAATATTTGTATAGTTATAATTAGAATCTTGTAAATTTCATATAGAGAAAGTATAACTCGAATGGAAATATTGTCAATCAAGCAGTCAATTTAGATTCAGAATTTAGCTAAAGTAATGTACTCAAACTAATAAAAAGAATTATAAATCAATCAACTGTTTCAAAGCTATCTGAAAATGGGTTGTTTTATTCAAAAACAAACCCAGTTTTAAATGAAGAGACAGATATCGTTGTTGAGTACTTTGTTAGTGTATCTATGATTCAAAGCAAAACCTACTTGCCGAAAAAAAATGATTATTCTCGATTAACTAATATCATTTTAGTGGTAATTCACTAAACCGAAATGAACTAAAACCACTTTTTTTTCATCAAACATATTAAAAATGTATCATTTTTACAAAGCATAAAATAAACAAGTCTTTTCCGAAGATATCATTATCAAAACAGTTTCAGAGGTGGTAGAGAAAGTTTGTGGCTCAGGTGGATGATTGTGGAGTTTCGTTCTCTGAGCTGGATGGTTCGGTTGTGAAGCTTTCACTGTTCTTCTGAACAACGCCATCAGCACAAATTTCAATTTTTAAATTCTTCCTCATATGATTCAGCATATTGACCGCAATCTTGAACGATTAAAATTGACCTTTACCCTATCATAATCCGTATCTTTATTTCGATTGTGTCCCCCTTTTATCTGATTCGTGGTGTGATATTTGTCTAAGATTTCTTCGCTTGGTTGATAAATTGGATCAATCTCGATCTGTTTGCGATCTGTTTTCGATTGACCTGAGTGTCAAGTTTTAGAACTTTTCTGTTATTCATAGTATTTCCTCTATTCAAAATTTCAACATTTTCGCAGTCGAATGTCTATTCACAGCTGTCTGCATGCATTGATATGAGCTAAGATGAGTTATGGTGTTTGATGTGCATACAGGCGACGATAAAGAGGAAAACCACTTTGTCCGATGTAGCGCTTTTCACAATTGGAACAGTTAATCTTGTAGATGATATTTAGTTCTTACTCTTTTGTCCTTTGGTTTGCACAGGATTCATTAAAGTGATTTTGTTGGTTTGTGTGCCACACATGTTCCAAATGGCTTCAGTAATCTTAATGCGATTTCTAATATGTCGTTTATATATAGTAGGATTATCTATATGCTGGTTTCTGTACTTGGTTTCGTTTTTGCTGATGATTTAGGTTGGTATTTTTTAAAGGAGTTTTGTGGGTAGTCGTTCTTTTGAAATATGGCCATCAGATATTTTTCTTCAGTCTCCTGCATTGCATGAGCACTTTAGTATGTTATCGGCCACCTAAACAGAGATTGCATGTATTCGGTTTTGTGAGTTAATGGTCTGCTTTTATTGTAGTTGAGAATTTGATTGGAGAGGGTTGGCTTCCAACATACCTTTAGTCTACAGTATTCGTGTGATCTACACAAACAGAAATGATGATTTGTTGTTCGACTACTTCCCTATTTTGAATTTTATCTCATCAAGGACGTTGTTAATAAAATTGTTGGTATTTTCCAGGTCGTCTGTTTTTTTAAAACGAATGTGTTCCCTGTATAACGAGTTCACTTTGACAATCAGGGATTCTAGTCTTTGCTGACAAGTCCTGATAAGTTCTGATATTAGTGATCCCAGTGGTGTTCCTTTCGTTTATTGTTAGATTTTATTGTAGAATTGAAAATATGTTGTTAAGTATACTTCGATGAGTTCTAGTAGACTTAGGCTTTGAAGCTTCAAATTAGAAATAAAGAAAAATAGGAAACAATTTTTTGTTTAAAAAAAACTTACTAATTTACTGAGACTATTTAATTTTGACGTGTTCCTTGATAAAGGTTTATTATCCTATCAACAAAATAAAAGTAGACAATCATAATATTTCATACAATAACTAGTTATAATTCACTTAAAATTTATTTTTACTAGAAGGAAGATGTATATGTTTCTAATTCACCATTATGTTGCTAAAATAAAGAGAAAAAATTGAATTCTAACTTCTGCGCTGCTTAAAGTTGTTCTGTCTAAAGTTTAGTTTGACTTAAGTTATTCGTGTCATAGAATTACGAGGGAACCATTGTGTTTTGATGTGAAAATTGCATGATACAATTGTCTGTTGTATTCTTGTTTTAAATGAATAGACCTAAAATTTAGGAATCATCCGTCTGTTCTGATTCAAGCTGGACAGTTTTCGTTGATACACAACGTAGTAAAAAGATGACACTTTTTCATTAAACAGCTAGCTGTTTTGTAAGGTTTACAATAATTTCAGAAACTGCCGTTATGAAATTTGGCTCATTTCACTCATAAATACTCACCTTCCAAAGTAAGGAGATTTTGAGTGAGCGAGAAGCTCTTTGTCAGAGGCCGAATCATCATGAGCACAATATACATGTGTGTGCTGTGATCTTGTCGAAGTGAATAAATCACTTACAACAACCCAGTAATCATGTATATTTTACCTACTGTGCGAGAGACCATATAATTTATCTGAAGTTGAAAGTCCTATCAGAAGACCATTCCTGGGTTTTTACGTTGACCTCTCCCAGTTGACAAGGAACGTACCAGTACACCTAGCAGAATGATCTTTACTCTGAACTACTGCAACCATTTGATAAAATATTTAGTGATCAAATTCGAATATATAGGGTAAAGGGAATGTGGCCATCTGTCTCTTAACTTTAATGACAATTAATACACATTACTCATAAAAGTAGTACATCTTACTTCTACGTTACGACTCATTGTTTGCCGCAAATTACGAACTGTATCTTTTAATTCATCAAGATTTCTTTGATTTTGTAGTCGGCCACGATCATCTATAAATCGAGATTTCACAAAAAGAAACTTTTAGCAGATAATAAGGATAACAGTTAAGTTTTCACTACTTTATTCGTTTCAAATACTGAACGGATAAGTGATTGTGGGTTGTAAGTACATAGTAATCAGTTGTTAATTGATGACATTAACAAATACGTGTTGCCTTGATGACGAAAATATAATAACAAAAATACTGAATTTTTTGAACAATATTTACTAACAGAAGCGTATTATCAGAAAATTATTTCATCGAAAAAAATTAAGTGAAAAATGTTTTGGTTAGATAAAAATTATTCATACAGTTTTCTAATAAAAATAGCATCCTTATGAGAATTGTAATTCATTTGAGTAGTACAAATTAACTATATTTTTTAGCATCCTATATGGAAGATCGTTTTAATCAATCATTCATTGGTGATAAGTGTTTTGCATTGAATGAAGATGTCATTCATTAAAAAACTATATTAATAAATAAGTTGATGGACAGATGTATGTTGAAATAAATCTGAGACGGTGCAGAAAATTTGTAGCTCAGGTGGATGATTGTGGTGCTGGATATTTTGGTTGTGAAGCTTTCATTGTTTTTCTGAACAACATCGTCAGCACAAACTTCAGATAGAAGTGAAGTATTCGAATTTCTCCACGTTTGTCCTGCGGCTTATTCTGTTAAGCTGTACATTGATTGCATGCTATTGACCCTAAATCTGTCGTTGTTTACACCTTTGTTTTGATTGTATCCCCCTTTGATCTGTTTCTTCATCCTATGTCGCCTATGATTTTTCTGATTGATTCATAAATTGGGTCCATGTCGATATGCTTGTTGATTGATGATTGACCTGAGTGCCAAGCTTCTAAAAATTCTTTAGTTTTCTTTGTGCTCTACCTATCCAGTATTTCAACATTGTTCCAATCGGACGTATGCCCATAGATGTTCGTATGTATTGATATAAGGGAAGAATTGTCAAGGCGTTTGACCTCCAATTGATGTTCACGCATACGAAACTGAATAGGACATCCACTTCGACCTAAGTAGTGTTTTTCACAGTTTGAACAGTTTATTTTGTAGATGATATTTGGTTTTTCTTCCTTTGTCATTTCGTCCTTTGGTCAACATAAGATTGATTGAAGTGATTCTGTTGGTTTGTTTCGGAAGCCAACCCACACAGACGTAATTCTCAACTACGGTAGCAACAACCCAAGAACCCACAAAACCAACTGCATGCAAACTTTGTTCAAGATAGCGAAGATACACTGCAGCACATATAAAGCACTAAAAACCGAGGAAAAACATCTTATGACTATCTTCAAAAATAACGGCTATCCACACAACTTTATCAAAAAACAACTGAAATCGTCAACAGAAGTGAAATCAAGTATGGGAACCAATAAACGGATTATCCTACTATACACAAAAGACATTTCGGAGCATACAGCAAGACTACTGAAACTATTCGGAATAGGTATGTAACAGAAGTGAAGTATTCGATATAGTATCAAGAAACAGATTAAAAGGAGGATACAACCAAAACAAGGGTGAAAACAACAACAGGTTTAAGGTCAACAGCAACCAGTCAAGATCGAGGTTAGCAGAACAAACTACAAGTCAAACGTGGAGAAATTCGAATACTTCACTTCTATCTGAAGTTTGTGCTGACGATGTTGTTCAGAAGAACAGTGAAAGCTTCACCACCTGCTCAGAGAATGAAATTATTCTTTTTACCAACACTGAATATGGTTTTTTGGAACAGTTTTAAAGACTCCAGTATAAAAATACTGATCAATACAAATAAAATGTAATGTTTCCTGCATTGTTGGGCTATTTTTGTTACAATAGTACCTAATACTAGTTTGAGACTAAGAAAACAACCGGATTTTTGTTGTCTAGTTTGTTTAATCCATAATTTCCTATCGTTTCTCATAACAAGAAAGCCATAATCACAAATTGAACAAAATGAAAATATAAAATCAATTTATGGATTAATTGTAATGCTATCAGAACTTACCAGTACCAACTCTTGAATTACCTAATAAAGTAATTTCTTCTATTGGAATAGACCATTTTACTTCCAGGTCATAATCAACAGCAGAAAGCTTTTCAGACCGTGAATCACCCTGTGAAGTATTATCATGTAGCATCCGTTGTCTTCTTTAGATGAGCAAATGATGAAAATAAATTAACACTGTTATTAATTTGATCATTGTGAATATTTAGTAGGAGGAGTTAACTTCTACTTACTCCCGAATCAATACAATACAATATTGTTATTCATTCGTTGATTAGGTCCACACAAATGAGAACATTCATATCTTGGTTCTACTTTTTTTTAAATATAATAAATACCGTTAATGATTTAAAGATTCTAGTAACAACACAACTTCTTTGTGGTTTGTTAGTTTTGTTACAAAGCTGTCAGAAAATAAATACTAAAACCAACTCGAACGACTCACGCTATAATTACAGACTAAACAATCACTAAATGTAATTAGCAAAGTGCTGAGATTGGTGAATCTTCAATTTATTAAATTGTCAAATATACAATTGTAGGTCAAACAATTATATATGACGTAACTAACGTTTAGAAAAATGTCTTTTGGTTTACATTTTATTTTGTTATTCATGGCATTATTTTCACATCCTGTATTTGTTGGTAATTCTCTTCCCGTTTATATTCTTCACTAACTAATTATGTGCGCACTTCTTATAACGTAATGGTCTAGATGTTTTGTAATGGTTATTTTAAGTCTCTTTAATCCACGTTTGACCTACTATTAGGGTTGAATGTACGTATTCCTATGGCTTCTGCAATGTGTAGGAGACGGGATCGAACTCTGTTGGGAAATGACCTACTATTGACAAAAACTTTTGTTATCGTATTTTATTTTTCTTACTACTATCAGTACACTTGCCTTCCTACCACCAACATGTGCTTTTACCTACTATGTGTAGTGACGTAATCTATTTCATTTCATTGTGATTATAGACTCAAGTTGCCTTGATTGGTTTAACATTTTCATATAAATATTCATGTATATTAGAGAAAAGCCCGATGACCATCTAATCGAAAACAATATTGTTCGCTTATGTGTTGTTCTAATATTACAGTTGTTACCATTATTCTATGTTGTATTCGTCCAACAAGGTCATCTTTAACGTTATAACTACAGTCTATTTTCATCAAATAAACGTGACCTATCTACTAATAGATTCTGATATTTGTTTGTTTGTGTGTGTAAGTATTGTTATTTGCAAGTTCAAAGTCATGTCCACAGTTGTTATATTTATGCAACAAAAAACACTGAATGTCAATGCAAAGAAAATGTGTACAGTATGATGTAGTTAAGTTTTGTTTGTGAAAAGTCATAAATTGCAAAAATGCAAACACTCTAATAATGACTTTCATCGTGTATTTCACGTTTACACCTCTGAGTTCTGAATGTAACGGGAACATTTTGAGCTATTTCAGAAAAAATTCTATTCAATAATGAAAGTAAGAATTTCATTGATTGATATTATTTTATTCGTGAATACGGAATCAATAAATGAAACTAATCGATCTGTACTTGTTTATTGATTCTCTCATAAACATAAATAATGTTCGAAGATTAGTTTTATTACTATAATAGGATACAATTTCTAGTGCTTTCATCTTTAATTTTTGTATCACCATGGATGCGTTTTCACCACTAGAATATTTATATTTTCATTTAATTTGAACAAAGTATGAACATTAAAATCATCTTTGTGAATTATATACTTCATAGTTCAGTATGGAAAGGGAATGAGTAAGCTGCAATAAACGATTGGCTTTAGTTAGGACAAAAATGAACACTTTCGGTTCGATTCCAGAAAATGTAGCTAAGCTGTTTATGCAGACTACCAAAATAATCAATTGCATGCAAAAACTACTAGAGGTTATATGTTCGCTTGTGAAATAAACTGAAGGTCCTGGATTCAATTACTATGAACAGGGAGGTGGATGCGCACTGTTGAGTAATCCGATGCTAGGATGATGCAACTATCTAATGGTTCAAAGTTTACAGTGATAGTTTAACTCAGATCAGTTCATGATTTCGCTGAAACTTAACGCCAACAACACCATTCATTCTTCAATACAATCTACGCATATACTCACAATGTTTCAACCCCACCACTTCATATTACAAATTGCATATTTTTCATACCCATCATCGTACACACAAATAATCACGGCAATGTCTTATGTGAAGTTACCTTGACCGAAAATAACAATACTGATAAGTTCATACCTATTAAAATGTTGGTTGCACTAAAATGCTCATTCTTCTTTATTTTTAACAGTCTAATTGAGGTCGTGTTAATTTATCTAGATTATTTAATTACTTATTCTAAAAAAACGTGACAAACACAAATTTCTACTGATAAGAATATTATAAAAATATAATTATTTTGCTACCACAATGCTAGTGTTTGAAAGAATTTGTATGCTCTTCTTGTTAATATGTATGGTATCACTTGATCAGTGTGTGCTGATATATGAATATTTTAAGAGGATCCCTGAATAATATTTATTAGTGTAGATTTTTTATTATATTTTTGTAGTGTGGCCAAGTAAAAGTGTCCATGAATTATATTTCGTTTCATTTAAGACTTATTGACTAGATGTAACTAACTGCATTACAGCGCCAAAACTCGTAATGAGCCTTGAACTCAATGTTTAGCGTTTCTAATAGTAATCTCTTATTTTCTAGGCTCAAAAGTTCAGATAGCTATTAATTTGCTTAACAGTTAGGATATCATTAGCAGGGGTTGGTATTATCCCGTTATTTTCATTCAAATGTGCATTTGATTAGTCCTTGTTTGGCATAAATTCACTCTGACTAGATACTTACAACAACAACAATAAAGCATATCATAAACCCAATAACTATTGTTTCAGGTGTGATCCACAATCATAAAAATGTGCGCAAGAAATCGAACAATGGTGATACTAGCTTTCAAATTTTTAGTAGTTCACTGTTTTCCTGTTCATTCATTCATTTAATTCGAAAATAAAAACTGATAAAGTTATCACCATAAATGTTACACAGTGAAGATTTGTACACATAAATCTTGTTCCTGTTCATCAGTAATTTTCTGTTGTTTATTTGGTTGAATGTGGCCACACTCCAGTCTACCAGTAATATCAATATCCAATAGTACGATTATTCTTAGATATTGTTAATAATGACATGAATGGTGTACTTATAAGTATTTCTTTTTAAAAAACAAAAAAATTGCACAAAATCTTACCTTAAACCGCTTGAAAACTTTAGTCTCGCAGAGACAAGCATATCTTTAAACAGGAACAGGTAACGCAGTTTACGGCTATTTGTTTTACCAGTTAATTCAACCACTAGACTATGCATAATCAAACGATTGGAATCCTATTATATTTGAGAAAAGAAACAAAATAGAAAAACAAGTGTAAATTATCAAGGCTGTATTTATGCAAGAACAAAGAGACTGATTAAAAATTGATTGTTCACACTTAGTTGAATATGAAATAAAGTCAGACTGAATGTTTCATAATCCAACATACAATTTTAAGTTTGGTTTTAATATTGACAAAACTCTACGTTACGTATTTCCCCACTATTCAATACTGAAGAGAAATCCTAGTTTACAGTAGAAATTTTTTTTTATGAAACCATATCAAATGGCAGTCATTACACTTTGTTCGACTAGAGAAAGCAGTCTATAATCAAGCTAGACAAATAGTTAATAAGTTTCTGTAAAATGTAAGATTTATGTATCAAACTGCAAATAGTAAATTTAAACTAAATCAAACACTTGCAATTTTCAATTAGAGTTATGGAGATGAGTGTTTTTATACATTTGAAATCATCAACCAATAGTTGTTAGAACACCATTAGAAACCCAGAAGTACCGGACGGACGTTTCGTCCTATTATGGGACTCATCAGCAGTGAGCATCTAGGACTCCTGCAACTCGCAGGATTAGAACCCGGGACCTTCGCTGTTGCGCGCGAACGCCCAACCACTAGACCACTAGCCCACTAAACTTAACTATTCAACATTTGATTGAATTGGTTAAAAACAACCATCTATTCTGGGGCATGATGCTTAATTAGTGCTTAAAGTTCACTAAATTGTTTTTTTTTAAATTTTAAGTATTGGAAACTTCAGCTATTCTATTGCCATAACAATTTACTATCATAAGCTAACGATGGATCTCTCATTATTTTCACTGTTATAATAATCAACTAATCTTCCAAGTTTTCAAGGATGATCTAGTTCCGATTGGATTTTTACTTTGAAAATTGAGAGAACTGTTTTGCCGATTTGATCAGTAGCTAGTTGAACTTACGCGACAGTAAAAGAATAAATGAACCTGATACGCTGGTCTACTGATATTCGTGAAACTACTAAGAGTTCACCTTACTCGGTAAACAGAGCGCAGATAAATGATTCATTGACACAATGGGCTATTCTATCGATGGTCATGAAGTGCATTCATTTCTCAAGGGAATGAATGTATATGTATAGGCGAGTATTTATATATATGGTTCGGTAACCAAATAGATTATAGCCGATCCTCTTATCTTCTCACTAAAGTATTCACCTTCAAAGGGATAGCATGCATCTCATTCAGGTCTTGGTCATTACACATCATAACACACTCCTTCACATAATTAAATCTATATCAATCAACAAAACCAATTAATCCAAGCCCTAAGTGACCAAATGTATAACTAGATCACCCAGATTGTCAGAGTCAAGTTAAATTAGCTTATCAGAAACATGATATAATATGTCTCTCCAATTCGGTCAGCAATCAATGACTGACTGATCTGTTAGATAATAACCGATATGACATTTCGATATCTGTTTAGTTTTTATGTTTTAATTTGTTATTTTCAAATTAGTTGTTCTCAGAATATGTCCTTTCTAAATTGCCATACATTTCAATCAATGGTGTTAAACATATTTTTTTTCAAATCTAACCACTTATGCGATTCAGTGCTATTTAAACTTCGTTTTTAGGAAGATAAAATCCAGTGATATGTAGGTTTTCTGTTCAATCGTTTTCATTTTTTTTCCACTTGTCGAAACATGCTTTTTTGCTAGCTAATCATCTGAAAGCTCCCTTTTTTAAATCCAGTAGATTTGGTTCCGAAATTTAACAACATGAATGATGTATATATTAAATTTTAATGTTCAATTTCCTTAACCTTATTAGTTATTGTCTATCAAAAATTGAATTAAATTGAATTAAATTGAAGATTTAATTGCTTCATATGATAAAGTTAGTTATTATTACTTACACTTGTCTTATCATCTTGAATATCATTTGAATTCAGTGACTCTTCCAACAATGTTTTATAAATTCTATGAAGCTCAGGATAATGAACTGAATTTGTATCAAGTAGCATTACTAAAGTCTAAATAAAACAGTTATATATGAGTATTCAGTAAAATGATTCTTTCTCTTATAAAATATAATTGCTGTTGATAAATAAACAGGCTCATTACAACTTTTATGCATTGTAAAATAAAAAAAAGTTTTGAAGTCTAATTCATAGGTATTGGTTGTTTGAATTTTCTTATTGACATTTATCACTACAACTGATCAGTCCATTTTGCATGTGTGCATCCTATGCGGTTCACCATAGTTCTGCTATTTAGTGACAAGCATTTTTAAAAAACGATGGATTGTGGCAAGTAGTGGGATCTCTTTAGTCGAAATCGAGAGACATCGGCTGGATGTATCTGCATCACAGGATTGATGCTCACCCCGACACTCAAACCCAACGCCTTTCGCTTTAAACGTCGTCAGATCTACTGATTCTAGATTGCCATTAGCTCGTGAAATGGAGTGAATTTCACCTTTATGGTACTGAGCTGAGTCTCACAGAGAACATTAATCCTAGAATGCAGGTGTAGTCAATGCTTCGTATTATCGTCTTCAATTTATACACTGTTGGGACTTATCCGTTAACGGTTATGAGGAACAGTCATATACGAAGAGTATGCACTGTCTCTAAGATAACTCACTACAGCATTAGTGAACCGAACAAAGCGAATGCAATGTGGCTTTCGATTATATGTTCATATTTGATAATCAGTTTACTCAGTATCGATTCAGATTATTATTTTTAACTATGTTTATTGTTATGGATTACTAATTATCTTTAATGTACATTGTCAAATCAACATTTTTCAGCATAATTCAACAATGTTCATCATCAGAAATTACTACATCGTACAGACAATTGTTATACTATCCAACCTTTTTAAGGTCACTAAACCACAACTTTGGTTCATTGAACTTGAAAAATATTTTTGTGTTTCATATTGATCTGATAAACAAAAATTCAGTCCTGTAAGCAAGATGGTAATCTTGAAATAAACTGGTGTATTTGTGTAACATAGCGTAGCGCAAACACAACATTTTTTTCAGACTAACATAATTTCATTATCAAAATTTAAATAGAAAGAACTAGTTATCGATGCGTTTTGACTGTAACATTAAAACTGTGCTAACAAATTAAATCCACCATGTTATTAAACTAAAATTCATATCCTCAATGTCAAATCTGCTATCTGTTAATCTAAATTAAGTCTTTAATGAACCATTTATTAACTCACATAAATATAAATTTTAACATACTTTTATGTTTTCAACAGTCTGTGTAATCCAAGTCATTGGATCCTGAAGTCTAACTTGAAGTAAATGAAAAAAAATAAGAATTCAATAAAACATTACGGAAACTTCATTGACGACTCCATTTTTATAACACAGTGATGACTAAATAAAACTGGAACTGAATTTTAATAATACCGTTGCAATAACCAAGAAATATTCCTCGTTTCAATCAGCTTTATTTGTCATCTTTGCATTTAGTGGGTCACAATTGAAAACAATAGCTAAGGTAAACCTTTTTTCAATTAAAAAAAAGAATGAGTGCAATGAATATTCACTCAAAATTTGTAGTCTGTAGGGTTGCTCAACTGCTATCGATTATTTTCCAATGCAGTTACCACTGTCAGTCGATATTATAACACATTCCTCTTTCTGTTAGATGCTTGTCAACTTAAAAACGCTCAATAGAATGTTAGTCGGCGCATACTAATCAAAGTAATCAAGTCTTTGGATTGAAAAATATAACATTGTTGATAAGTAGAAAAACTAGTACATTAGAGCTAACTAGACCTCACTAATCATGCTTGTTAAAAATAGTAGATTTCATTGGCCTCTTAATGAAGTATTAATTCACTTTAACACGAACCCAACTGTATTTGTCGACTACGGAAGATTGTGTAGAATATTTGTCTAACAATGTAACATATCCACTTTAATTTAACATGATGTGACCTGTTAAATATCCTTTTGAAATATAGTCATATAATTTTATAAATATTACAAATTAGTATCACTTTCGAATCAGAAGTCCTTGTAAACTCTAACCATAAGGAAAATTATTTAACAATAGTTATACATTTAATAATCATTAGGAACCTTTGGTTAAATATTGGGAGTTTGTTATCCTCATAAATTATTCACAGTTTATTTCAAAGTCTGAGCTTAGTTAAACAGCCAGTGAAGACCAAAAACTAATAAACAGCTGTTCTATCTCTATATGGAACTTATCATCAGCTCGGGTTCACCACCTTATTCATTATGGAACCTAAGCCTTGCAAAGTGCACTGGATTTTTAGACCACTGGAGTGCCATTAAATGACATGTATAATTTCAGACAATTTTGCCATATGGAGAATTATTGGAAATAACCATTGGTAAAAAAATGACATGCACTGTAAAGAAGGACAAGATAATTAAAAAAATGGAGTTTTTCAAGAACTTACTTAAATTCAATGATTTCTGAAATTTCAAGAGATAACAAACATAAGATGAAACAATCAATTTTTCGTCTTAAACCAAAGTTAAATGAGTAAATAGATTTTAGGGAGAACAGCGTCAACTCGAGTTGTGTATTTGATCAAACAATACTACTATGACTGATTTAGTGGCTCCGAGATTTGATTCCGATTTGTCAGAAAGTTCTTCTTTGATGCCAATATACCATTCTTAGACAAACCCCTTTTTTCTGACAGCAGTTATCAAAAGACAATTTCAGTTTTGTCGACGGATTTATTCCAAACATTCATTTTAGTAGACACGACAGAGAGAAGCATGAAAGCGAAGAGAAGCAACATGAAACTGAGAGAGTGAATGCTGATGAGGTATGACTAATTATTGAAAGTCAGACAAAATGAAGCTAGACAATGTGATGTGCGAAGTAAGCATTGTACACTGCATTTAAATAAAAACAATCAAGATTCTAAGCGATGATTTGACAAGGTCAAAAGAATAGAAACTCGGGCAGGAAAGATTAATTAGTTTTTTCCATAAGTTACGACAAGCCCTGTCGGCTCAACACAGTAGTACAACCATTACCCCGGTTTAACCACTTTGGTTTGCCAATTAAATGAAACTTTCAGAAAACACATATTCAACATGATTATCAAACTAAACCATTTATTTAATTACTATTCATATCCTTCATGTGAATTTTTACTTTGAGCGCCTTAGAAAGTTAACTAGTTTCAATATGATTTCAGATTAGATTTCTGATTTTCACTAAATTGATCCCCATAAAAAAAGTAATTAAAAATTTCTGTTAAAAAAAAGAATAATTTTTAGCAAGTTCATTTGTAAAAGCCGTGATCGTGGATTACACAAATCCAATTGCACACAAGGTTTGATGAGTTAACCTAAAAGGTTAAAGACACATACTACGTAGATAAGTATGGACAAACACAAAACTCTGCTTCAGAATTTGATGCAGATTTTCTTTAAATATCTAATTAATCAAGTTCTATTCAATTTAAAAGTTTTATATGCCAAAACTAATGAAAGTTCAATTATCTGAACTTCATTCTTCATTTTGAATTTTGTTTTAAAAAGCATTTTAATTTATATGATTTTAAATAAGGTCATTTACATTTTAAAATATTTGATTTATTTTTTAATTTTTCTGTGTTTTCTTTATTTTATACTGTAAATTTTTACGCTAAACTATTTTTATCACCATGTAAAACACAGTTTCAATAAGTGTATCCACCTTTTTTAATTGTTCTCAGCTGTATAAAAATTCATTTGTATTTATATTTATTTAAGAAATAAAATTCTTGTAAAAAGATAACTAATTTTTGTCTTTATTATATATATATATATATATATATATATATATATAGATATATATGTTTTAATTCGAGAAAAATAGTTTCATTTGTTATTGAAATGATTAAAATTCAATTATTCATTGTCACTCATAATATGGTAAGTAAAAATGAAGACATTCTCATCACATTAAACATAGAACTAATGAAAAAAATAATTAAATTGTAAATATCAGTTATTATTCAGTTTTATAGAAGCGTGTACAACTAGATGGTAATTTTCATTTGAAAGTGCAAAAAACTTAAAAATACAACTGGTGGTCTAACAGTAAGCATAGTAATATCGATCGATAATGTCAACGTGCAGGGATAAAACTTCTGCTTTTTAGTTCAGACCTGCAAACAGGCCATTTTTATCTGATTATATACTAATAAATAAATAACTAGATATTTCTCAATCTTTAGATGAGAATCCATTGCCTCTATTCTATAGTTCATATTTCATTTCAATTCGTAAATATAAGTAATTTTAAATTATTTATCTGTTCTTATCAGATTTTCTCCAAGTACTAAATAAAGGAAAAAAGTCCTTTACCTTATGAATAAAAATGATATATAACATACTCAATTAATAATTTATTCTTATAAATAAAGTTACTGGGCATATCACATAAACATAAAGTTTGCTAGAGTGTTAAGAAAGCTTTGTAAATAATCACTGATCATTATCAATTCTTATCCAATTCATTACAATTTTTTAACTTTTAAAACAATTAGTCCCTTTTATAAATTTTGATAGAACAGTGAGAAGACGTAATTGATCTGAAAAATGTGATGTATTTGCGCTATACATTCCGAACAATCTGGTCACACATACTTACTTGTCAAGGCATTTTATATGAAGATGAATAAAAGGTCAATTAAATAAAAGTTCAAATAGACATAGGGTGATAATTGTAAATAAAGGAGAGAGAAAATTAACGTAATATGAAAAGAACAAGAAGGGGTAGGAAAATTGTCACATTACCCAAGGCTTAAAGATTACCAAGGTAAATTCAAGGTTATGACAAATTGTTTCTGCACACATAAAGGGGGTTTTAATTTTCTAATAGCCAAGGCCTCCATAAACCTCAAAATTCGTCCTTCAACATTTCTATACAATGTTTTGAAGGCTGTCTTGATGTCAATCTTATGCCCTGTCTCAATTATGTGTTTGGCGATCGATGAACATGATTTTCTATTTCCAACGTTAATCGGCTCATCTGACGTTAACTGATTTTGAAGCCACTTAGGTACATGTTCCATAAGCCTTGATTGCAAAGTCCGATTACTCCTCCCTATGTATGTGTTTCCACACAAACATGTAAATTGATAAATACAATGGGATGTGATGTAATCATTAGAGCTACGTTTAGGTATATGCGAAATCATGGACTTGGTCTTTTCAATGATAATCAGTTTAGCAGCGTTGTATGTTTTCTCTATGGCTGCTTTTAGTCTCTGTCTTATTATTAGACCATTTGCTTCTCCTCTAAATGGTAAAGTGATATAAACCTTTTTCTTTTCAGCAGAATCAAACACTTGCTTTTGTCTTAACTGATCTCTACACCTATTGATAAACTTTAGCGGATAGCCATTTGAAATCAATGCTTCAGTTAAGAATTTTGCATCGTCGTCAAATGTATCCGTGGTGCAAATCCTTTGTGCCCTATTGAAGAGGCATTTTACTAAACCTCGCTTGTGTTGCAGTGGACAAAAACTGTTGAAATTTAGGTACTGTCCAGTCCACGTCGGCTTTCTATAAACAGATCGCTTTATAGTTCCATTATCTCTTCAGCTCAACAATATGTCTAAGAAAGGCAACCGATTATTATTTTCTGGTTCATGAGTTAATACAATATCATTCTGAAGACTATTGAAGTTTTCCAGTAACTGGGAGACGTTAAGTTCTTTATCACATATAATTAATATATTGTCCTTATATCTCCTATAGAGAGTAAGCTTATTAATGTGCTCCTTCCACAAATTTTCAGCATATGCCATGTAAACATCGGCTAAGAGAGGTCCCAAAGGACTACCCATAGCAACGCCATCAACTTGCTGGAAATGTTCATCATCAAACGTGAAATGAACTTTCTCAGTACATAATAAAATTAATTCTCTTAGTAGACTTGACTAAATGGGAAAAAGGGGGAAATTACTTAATATATAGTCACAAAGAAAGTTAACAGTTTTCATTAGGGGAACATTGGTAAAAAGAGAGTTTACATCAAAAGAATGCATAGTCTTTTCTTTAATATTAATATCATCAAGAACACCTATCAGTTCAAATGTATCTTTCAGGGAAAACTTACACAATTTATTACGAATTGGGCTAAGTAATTTAGCTAACCATTTGGCTAGCTTATGCGTAGGTGAGCCACACATAGATAATATCGGTCTCAGTGGAGTGTTCGGTTTATGAATTTTGGGTAATCCATATAAGTTCGGTAGTACAGATCCGGTGGGTTTATGGAGGCCTTGGCTATTAGAAAATTAAAACCCCCTTTATGTGTGCAGAAACAATTTGTCATAACCTTGAATTTACCTTGGTAATCTTTAAGCCTTGGGTAATGTGACAATTTTCCTACCCCTTCTTGTTCTTTTCATATTACGTTAATTTTCTCTCTCCTTTATTTACAATTATCACCCTATGTCTATTTGAACTTTTATTTAATTGACCTTTTATTCATCTTCATATAAAATGCCTTGACAAGTAAGTATGTGTGACCAGATTGTTCGGAATGTATAGCGCAAATACATCACATTTTTCAGATCAATTACGTCTTCTCACTGTTCTATCAAAATTTTTTAACTGTTCTTTGGTTTAAGGAAGACTTAGAAAAAAAGTTAAATGTTCAATTGTTTGAAGCAACACTATTCTATTTGAATGTGTGGGTTAAATCGATTCATTTCCAATCGCAGTTGGATGGCATGATATGATACTTTAGGCATTACTTTTTTTCTTCTTTCGATAAGAACTAACGAGAATTTAGTGAGGAAATTTTCTCTCTGATGATAATGTTTAGTCAAATTGCACAGTCGTGAAAACAGTTAATTTGAAAATATAATAAGTTATTGGAAAGTAGTAGGAACGATTACATCATATCATTTGTAAAATATTGCTTCATATCTTGCTTAATAATTACTACTTAAAGAGAGATGACCAGCTAAAATAAACTGTGTGAAGGGTAATTGTCTATTTTTGAACAAATATTTATTAGAATTTAGAGGTTTTACAACTAATTTAGTGTACAACTGTTTCAGCAAATCAAGCTAGAAATAACTGACAGCTTTTAAATTATATAGTAATTTGGTAGATTTATCTTTAGACTTTTGTTACGCAGATATGATGACTAGTTACATATTGATAAAAATAGTCAATTTCACAGGAACAATCATATTGAATTTCGTTTTACTGCCTAAATGACACTGTTAACCTGGTAGTTGTTGGCTAACATCTTTCCGGTACATTTGAGATTTTGTAAGTGAAACGGATCAATAAGTCCAAACTGCTGAGTAGTTATTGTTAACTAACACTTGACAGTTCAACTAATGTTTCCGGATTATTTTTTACTAGTTTTCACTGAAAAATAACTCATCTGCGTTTTGAAGTGATTCCTCTCAAAAATGTCTATATTTAGTAGCTTCACTTACAATCTGGTGTGTTTGACTTATCCGCGTGTATCAAAAACAAACTTAAATCAGCGGGATAAATTATTCGAAAAACTGTAGATGGTATTCATCACAGATTTTGACTTCACCCGGAGCATGGTTGTATAAATGAGAGGCGCTAGGCAGCTGTTTCATCCCTGTGTGAGACTGTCTCTATAAATGATTAGCCATAACACCATTAGAAAACGAACCTAGAATATTACAGTTTCAAGGTGAACGCTTAGTTATTAAACCACAGGGTTTGTATCCGACAGTTAACATTCCTAACTTTAATCATTTTTTAATTTATGTGTCCATTGATCCTTCTTAGGTTTATGGTTCATGAAATAAATGAGTGATTGCTTTTGTACATTAAATTAAATTACCAGCTTTATCGTCTTTAGAGAAGTGTTCACACATATACCTACATTTTAATAATCCAATCATGTTCAAACATGACGTTGTATGCAAGTTTTATGAAAGATTTACAAAACTTATACAGAATATGTATATTTTTTTCAAACACATTAACTTTTTGAATTAGGACAAGTTTTGTTTTCCTTGTAGAATGGGAAATAATTTATCATGATCATTCATATTTATTAGATAGAAATCTCGAAGTTATGAAATTATTATTTTTCAGTTAGAAAAGGAAGTACTATGAAATTAAGTGTAACTTAACACTAAGAAACTTTTATTGATCATGTTTTGTTTTCTAAAAACACTCATCAATATCAATGGCAATGCTGATTTGTTTGGATCTCAAATCTGAGTAGATTAGTTTGAAAGGAAAAAATATATAAACCATTACAAGTGAAATTTACGCCCGCTACACAAGTTATTAACTACACAGGCTCAGTAACTAAGTGAATGATGTGTTGAAGGTTTGAAGTGTAAGGTATTACGTTCAAATTTTAGTGTGAACTCCAGTACTGGAATACAAGTATATACAGTATACCAGAGAGAGTGAAATAAGTATTCTGAATTCAACGTTATCTTCTGTTCAATTTAGCTCACAGTAATATGAACGCAATCCTTTCAGGATGCAAATATGACAAAAGAGATATGTTGTTTGTAGTCCTCAACATAAGTAACATACAAACGTAATATATAAATGTTGCACCGTTCAAATTTAATGTCATACAGTCGAAACTTTCAACCATTTTTGTAATTGTGAATGGACATTAGTTATTTACCATTTCATTTGAAATTTAACTAATTAGAGTTGAAAGTACATTCAGAACTCAAGACAAAATGCTTACTAAATTTAAGACTTATTTTTTCATCACCAAACGACATACTTAGGTTACTGTTACGATCTTATTTACCATTTTCAAATATGTGGACCAAAAATCTTATTTATGTAGGGAAATTTGATTTAAATTCAATAATCTTGAAATCGCAATTAATTATGGCGACAACAGCTTGCTTTCAGCAAATGACTAAGTGGTTAGAAAAAGCAGTCACATAAAACAAAAGTAGAGCCATTCATTTCCATCAAAAAGATAATGAAAGTCAAATTAAAATATATGACACATCGTCCCTTTCACATTAGATGCCAGATTCTTCTTTTACATAATGAGAATCATGTAAATTTACCGCGAGAAACCTAACATTAAATATACAGCAGTCTATTTTTGATCAAAGTCATGTCAGCTAAATATTTTAAACTCTTATCTCAAAACCAGTTTTAATGTTTAACCAAGGCGGTAAATAATCTTAACTTCTCAAATTTTCTTAAACGATCTTTACAGTCTGACTGTGAAAGAATTTCTCAGTAATATGGCAAACAGTTGAAATACAGTCTAATGTTTTAGGTTCATTTGTCTTAATAATTTGACTGTCTGTTCACATAAAATGGAGTCTGTTGAAAAGGCCTGGACAACACAATAAAAAGCGACTGGCTGTAATGATTTCATTCTCTGTATACTCATTAAAAGAATGACAACGCATAAATCCTAATCACAGGTAACTGGAAAATCAATTCATATTCACAAAATGGATTCTGATAATGAATCATACCTCAACCACAAAATAACAGTAAATGTTATGTTGTCTTGAGAGTAAAGCCGATCACAGTTTTAACATTCCTACCAAGCTAGATGACCGGAAATTTCAGTCTCATTTGTTGAATAGTCAGATATTTGAAAGAAAAATGGTAGAAAACACACTGAGCTTTTCTACCAGATTGGCTCATACATCATTACAAAGTGCATTTGTTTACATAAGATCAAAACCTTGACATTCTAAATATATAGTAATGCTGTACAAATCACTATGATAATCAACTTACACTTTCTGGAGTATCTGATCTTTCAGATTTTAAATATTCTAAAAGTTTTGATATTTTGTTAACATAGTTCGACATTTCTTTTTGACGACCAATCTGTATTTTGATTACAAAAAAAAGTCAAATTTACAAATAATTTAAATTATTCGTTAAAACAAATTTTTACAACATTTCATTGCTGAATAAAAAAGAAGATTAAAAGCGAAAAATTATTCTGATACAATTTTTAATGAAATGGAATTGATGAGAATTTGAATTTCTCTTTACTTTTCATCACAAATCCTCTAGAATAGTATCATTTTACTCTGAACATAATATTTAGTTCCAAACAAACATGTAGTCATCTGATCTGTTTGTATCTTTTATCACAGAATGATAATTATGCATAAATTTCAAGAGTATGAATAACAAACTTGTTATTCACTAGTTCTATATAACATTGATTCATTTATATAGACTGAAAAGAAAGCATGCTATTTCAATGTGACTAATATTATTCACATAGAGTAGTATATTGAGTTTTTAATCTTCCAAAGAACATGTTTTCAACTTAGTATTGATATCTCAATGATGTTTCGACAGATAAATAGTTCCATGCAAAATTTACTGTATTTGAAAACAACAAATGTAATTGGAATAATGTTTAGTACATCAGTATTAGGCAGTTTCTAAACTAAGTAAATGATAGTTCACTAATAATTAGGCAGCAAAGAGTCATACTTAATTAATAGCTCGCAAGGATTCAAAACTAAGTAAAAAAAAGTGCGCTTAACTTATAAGATCTTTAGTACAAAACACAGTGCACTTAGCTAGTTTGTACACTCTGTGTAAATTCATAATTGATCGGATGCCCATAAAATATCTCTGTGTATGTGTACGTATGTATGCATGCATACAATGTTAACTTAATTAGTTTGACATGTTTTATTTACATGAATAAAACAAGAAAAATAAAAAAGGAGAAAAGACAAGAAAATCAACTTACCAACAATTTGAATGGATCAATAAATTGTGCATAATCAATATCACCATTTTGCAGGCAAATTTTTAAACCGTGAACAAATTTTTTTTGTATCGTTTCAATTATACAAACTGATGCTCGTATTGGTGTGATTTCATTAGCTGAACGTCTATGTTTAATGGAATCTAATGACTGTTCATAAGAAAATAAATTTTACTTAGATATACTAAGATGTTGGACAATAAATTCATAGATAAAATGATAATCAATCAAAAGTGTTAATCAATAAACAAATTAGGTTTCGTGATTTAAAGATTAAAAATAATGAAAATGATAAAATATTTGATTAGTTTGTCTGTCGATAATAGTCATATAATGATGAATTTCGAATCTTTAGTTGAATAATTGACAGTTGAATAATTGACTCAAAATATCCAAAAAGTTCAATCATTATAACTGGTGCACAAGCTTAGTTCAGTTTTGTGGCCAAAGAAGGATTAAAACAATGAGAAAAATAATGTTTTAATAATTTATGCGTCACAAAAGTATTGGCTTTGTAGATGGATATGGCTGTACAAATCGCCTTTGGACACTAAGGTCAGGTTATTTTGAAGTGCATACTGATAAGTTCTGTTGTGTGCAAACGATATACGCGTAAACCATGTAGTGTAATTAAACGAGCTAATATAGAGCTCTTACTTGTCCTTTATGTAGCCAGGTAGGAATTGCGTACTTACTTGCGCCTTTTGCCCCCAATGGAGCATAAGCCGCCGACCAGCATTCTCCAACCCACTCTATCCTAAGCCTTCCTTTTCAGTTCTATTCAGTCGCTATTCATTCTTTCCATGTCTGTCCCTAATTATCAAAGTGAGTGTTCCTTTGGTCTTACTGACTTCAAGTGAGGGCTTGTCTTGATTGGCAGTTGGGTGCTTTCCTCAAAGTGTGCTATCCAAATTTTCAATCCATACAATAGAACTGTCTTGACATTTCTAATGAAAATTGCAATTTTAGTGTTTGTCCATGGTGGTTCTGAGTTGCAGATGTTCTTCAATTGTTAAAATGCTATCCTTGCTGTGTCATTCAGTTTGTTGACATCTCTATCACATCCACCTTGCTCATCATTGTTGATGCCAAACAGGTAGGAGCATGTTCAGAAAAAAATACAGTCATGGATTTGTGTCATGGTGACTGGATCTACAAAGAGAATATCTTTCCTAACCCTGTTTTGCCTGCACCATGTGTTTATCGATGAAATTGATGGATGAGCTTTTTATGGTGAGCAAGTTGTGGATAGCAATTATCTCTTTTTCAAATGGATCATCAAAGAAAATAAGTTTCATATAATACAATACCACTTCAATGGTACGTTACCACTATTGTTATCAGTATGTGTAAACATAAATGGATTATTGTACAATCATAACAAACTGATTGGAAAGAATTAAGATTTGTACTAAGATGAATACAAACAATATTATAGTTATTATACTGATTGCAAAGTTGAATTCAAAATAACAACAGTAAACGAGGTTAATATAAAACTTCGGTGACAATCCTTTATTTGGTAATTTACTAGTTTTTTTTCAAATTTATTTATTCATTTATAATTTCTGCTGAATATATAACTGCTAATATAATCGAAAACTATGCATCTTTGCATGATATTTTTTTTCTTTTTGGAGTCTACAAAACAGCCTTTTACAATATTCACTTGGACATACATTTATCCTAAAATTACACAGATTTGTGTCGATGATTTAATGTGTCGATTTAATATTGTTTATTGAGAATAATTAACAGTCAGGATTCTATTTTTATTTTAATCAGATTACTATACTTTACTTTATTCAAGGCCACACATTCATTCATATGATGAACTCAAGTGTACACCAGTAAATAAAACATAAGTTAATATCACGTGATTTAAAATAATCAATGAACAAAACAAATTGCTTTGAAGATATTTTTTTAACTATTAGCAAAATGCATAATTGTTTCTTCATAATGCGGAATACGTGTGTCATTCCAAAGAAGAAAAAATACTAGTATGCAAGTTGAAATCAGTCTGCGCATCGAAAGTATATGAAGAATTCAATATAATTCTTGATTCGTTATTAGTGAACTGAATCCAATCACTTGTAATAATGCAGTTGCATTCTACTTTTAACTCAATACTTTATTTAAACTGACAGAATAATCAATAATTAGAGTACTGACCTAGTGTTTTTTGTGATTTTCAATATCTTCTCTTATTGACTTATTAATAAACTGAGTCACATTCATGTGTGACAAATACATTTACAATAAACATAGTGTCAATGGATTCATGAAATACAAATATGTATAAATGGTTACCGTTTTGATTTCTTCCAAATTGTTTAAATGCTGACTTTCATGTTTATGAAGGTAATCCAAATGTGAACGAATTCTATTCCTTGTTGACTATTATTTTTATATTTAGAAAATAAAATTTAGAAAATTTTGGTTTGGTTTCATTTAGAAGATTGAAAATGGCATATATGCGCATTTAAATTTAGAAAAATTCTATCATCTCAGTTAAGGAGAGAGAAAATTCACGTAATATGAAAAGAATAAGAAAGAGTAGGAAATTTTCAAATTGCCCTAGGCTTATAGATTACCAGGGTGAATTCAAGGTTATAACAAATTGTCGCTGTACACATATAAGAAAGGTTATAATTTACGAATAGCCAAGGCTTCGATAAACCTCAAAATTCGTCCTTCAACATTTCTATACAATGTGTTTGAAGTCTGTCTTGATGTCAGTTTTATGCGTTTTCTCAGTTATATGTTTTGCGTTCGATGAACATGATTTTCTATTTCCCAGGTTTATCGGTTCATTTGACGTTAACTGGGTTTGAAGCCACTTAGGTACATGTTCCATAAGCCTTGATTGCAAAGTCCGATTACTCCTCCTTATGTATGTGCAACTTTAATATTGAAGGAAAGACTATGCATTCTTTTAATGTAAACTCCCTTTTTACCAATGTACCCCTAATGAAAACTGTTGTACATACGTTTTTTATAGGAACTCCTCTTTTCTGATTCCATTAATAATTTTTTCGGAGTCTTAATCATGGTTCTACAGTTTGTCAAACTGAAAACGCTTAGATCGTATTACTGTCAAGATATCATTTACTTATTTCGATGAATTTTAATAAACCTAATTTTCAGATATAATCGGTCAGCCAAATAATAAGCAAATGTTATCACCTGGATCAGTTCGTTAAACTAACATAAACATAAGTTACATTTCAAACAAATCTAATTGCAACATTGTAAAAAATGAAATCATATATGTTGGAAAATCCTAAAAACATAACTGATAACCTTTATGGCATATTTATCGAATTACCTTTTTGTCTTTGAAGTCTCTGTGGTTGGAAAATTTCTTCTGTTCACCTTCAGCGACTAAATTTACAATTTATAGGAAAAAACAAGTGAATGAAGCCAATTTATTATTTAATAATAAGAGTTTTCAGTTTCATTGAATAAAAATCAATAATTAAAATCTGAATAGTAGGCAGTAATTTTATTTTTAAATTGTTAACTGACCAAAACTACGTACATCAATGTCGAAGTTCTCAAGGTGACTCAACATACATTATCCATAGCTTCAGATTTTAGATTATTTTATCTAGACGGTTTCGGTGTCACTATAGTTTTAAATATCAATATCAAGAATATACAAACCTTATTTCTAACAATAACTAATAAAATGATTTCCTGATACAACCTTGATTTGCTCACACAATCTTTGTCATAAATTGCGCAGAAATGTTAAGTTGTATTATGATGATAATTCTAGTTATAAGATCGATTCTTTTCATGATTTAACTGAACTTGAATTTTTTCGATTTAAAAAGAGTTTTTGATTGTACAATCAACTTAAATGTTCGGGGACCTTAGATCCCCAGAGCTTACTTGATAAAGGCCCTAATTTGGATTTTATGCTTTCGCGGATGGGCTGGTCAGTTGACCTTGAGATTACACTTCCCACCGGGGAAATCCTTGACTCTCATTGGTTGATGTGTTATTTTAGTACGCTACTTTTGCGGCTCTCCCAAGGACGTTTCTGTCATGTATAAATAAACTCGATTTGTGCGCTTGTCAACTTCGATTTTCTGGCTGCCTGTAAAATACGCTTTTTACATCTTGGCAAGACTTCTTCCTCTACTTAGTGGGGCCTTGGGACGCTCAGATTAGAGTAGCTTATCGTGTCACTGGATCATTTGTCTTTGCTGTCGTTTACCGACTAAGGTGAACTCGTAGTAGTTTCAAGCATATCAGTTGACGAGCATAACATCCCATAAGGATATTTTCTTAATTTGTAGTATGAAACACTATAGTGAAAATTTTTTTGTAGATAACCAAAAAGTAAATATTTCTCTGATTGATATGTCAACAATAAAGTTATAACGGATAGATTTTTTAACCCACGAGTTCTACGTAAAAAAAATGATAGTCATTTGAAATGACTTCTAAAATGAGTGTTTTATGTATGTATTAAATATTGTAGTGTTTTATCAACTTGATGTACTACTAATTGTTACTAATTTAAGTCGTTGTATATATTCCTCAGTAAGACACTTTTTCATTGATGATAATTTTATATTTCATGAAGTTGATGATATTCATATTTATGATTGTGTTAATTTTTATTAACCTATAAACTTCTTAATAGATGCCTAGATCTCTATATACATGTTTTTTTACTGCATTCAAGAGAGGGAATCATCAGAGAGTGAGTGCATCATGTTCATTTCAAGAATTTTTATATGAATTTATATAAATATATGTGCTGATATTTGTAATGAGAAATGTCAACATTATTTGATACATTCAGTTTAAATTTCAACAAAATAAAAATTCGCACACAACTAATAAGTTATTACATCATCTGAATAGATATGATGAATAATTATAGATCAATAGTATCTTCGATAATGTTCTCTGAAGTTTGAAGCCACTAGTTAACTAGATTTTAATTCAAATCAGTAAGTCAACATTGTTATCTGTATTACATCTAATCGGTAAATTTTCAAAGCTAGAACAGACGATAGATTTTTCTACCTTTTTTTACGATCTATCATAACAAAACTTCTTCGTTTATGCTTCAAGTTTCTTCTATTAAAATCAAATTCATGACAGTAATGTCGAAAAACCACTAACGAGAAGGATGTGTAAAGTAACGGAAAAAAAATCTGCTGAACTGAACTGAAATTCCTTAATTTCAACGTACTGAAAACTGTGCTATGAGAAGAAAGTTAAATACTAGCTCACGTAGCTTATAGTGATTAGAATTTTCATTGGAATTTCGTTTAATTCCCGAGCTTATCTTATTTTGGCCTTTGTAACAGTGCAGCAATTACATATATATATGTTTGTTTTGAGATTTTTTGCATTTTTTTTCTGATTAAACTTACAAGATTCATAATAACTAAGTAATTCGTGTATAGTTATATCACGTGAATCACACAATAAATCTGAAGGTAACAATTCAGCATTAACTGGTGAGGAGTTCAATGGGCGTGCAGTATCTGGTAGAGATAGATGACGACTTGCAGTTCTAAATAGTAAATAGAAAATGAATAGGAATTATGAACATCAAAATAATATCATACTTGAATTTGTTTGATACTCGATAAGTCAGTTTTAGTATAGAAATAATCTACACAAAATGTATCGGAGAAATGTGAAACCGGTCTATATTATGTAAATTGTAGTGTATACACAATCTTAAATAAAAAAAATTTTAAATTGATTACTTTTGGATAATGCATGAAAATTGGTTTATGCAACTGTTCTTATTCTGACTAATAGAAAGTCTAGAAAGATTCTTGTTTAAAGAAACTTGTCTTTTGTTTATTGCATGCAACTTAAAAATTAACAGATGTCACAGTCAATATAAGAGATATGACTAAATGTTGATTCTTATGGTATGAGCAGTGAGGAGAAGCAGGAAGGGAACATGGATGACGTTGTTTTCTTGACGGTTATTGATTTATTGATGAAGTTTCAATAGTTCATTGGACATCATCACTCAGTTAGTCAGTCAGTTACAAAGTAGAGCTTCGTACGTAAGTAGATCAGTTCAAGTTGTCAGACCACATTAGCACAGACGCAACTGTCAGTTCAAATCCCATAGCGGTAGCGACAGTAGAAGTAATAACAGTCATGGAGAAAATTAGGGTTCGAAGGAATTATTCAAGAAGTAAAATCCAGATTTCTGCCATGTTTCAGATTGACCGCCCGTAATTTTCTTCCAACGTATTCCTACATCGCAATACATAACTCCGACGAGGCAGTCGGGGGTTAGGCATACGAAACATTCTTCCCAACCACCTCAACTGATGATCTTTCACTACTTCAATAATTCATCCGCCATCCTTGCCTGGTACTCGTTTCCTAACAACAGCAATGCTTACTCCGTTGTCCCAGGATATACGAGTAATGCTACGAGGACACCCGTGATTGGATACTGATAGCCTACGAATATCCTCGCTTCTTACTGATCATGTTTCACACCAGTGTAGTAGGACCGAGTGAACTTCTGTGCAGTACACTCGTCCTTTGGTTAGCAGACGGATATCTCGCCTGCTCCATAATGATGCAAGTTGGTAAAGCCAGTCGAGCTTTGTGTATCCGTGTTGAGATTTCTTCAGATACCGGGCGATCAGAACTGATGAGACTGGCGAGATAAGCGAAGCGGTCGACACGCTCAACTACTTCACTCCGTATTACAAGTTCAGGTGCGGTCGCAAGCCTATCTTGAAGTAACATGTTGCATTTGGAGGAACAACACAGCATGCCGAACATGCTTACATTGTTGCTTAGGGTAGTCAAAAGACTGCATCTTGTCAGTGTTTTCACCAAGTAGAAGTATGTCACCGACGTATTCCAAATCATTAAGCGAGTCTGCTGGTAGAAAGTCCACACCTGAAAAGTCTGACGAAAATAATGTTGACTCTAAAAGCATGTGTACGACAGCTGAACAGAAATGAAGGGAGGAGACAGTCCTGGCGGGCACCACTTGAACTAACTTATACCGATGATAGTTCGCCATAAGTTCTCACTCGACCAGTGGTGTTTGAGTAGGTAGCTTGTATCAGGTTAATGTACTTCTTTGGTACACGTTTTAACGACAGACACTGCAAAAGAGCCTCAACATCGACAGTCAAATTCCGCTTTAGGGTCGAGAAATACTGCTACTGTGGGGCATCTGAACGTGTCTTTTATTCTAGGACCTGACGTGGTGTGAATATTTAGTCGATACATCCACATCCAGGTCGAAAACATGATCACTACAATAATTTAGTATAATAAAACATTGCAATCCCATAGCATATTGTTTTTATATTTACAATCACTGCTTATTGTAAATCAAGTACTCAGATATCATAGTGTGATTGTTTAAATCATCAATCTTACATGTTGTTACAATACGGTTAGTCAAATATACGTGATCACTTAAAAATATATAGTTTGTGTAGTTTTCCAAATAAGATTTATCGATTATTCATAAATTTCGTCATTCATATGATGACTATCGTATTCTGATTTGTCAAAAATACAATATACATGGTCTTGAAATGAACTACTTTTAAAGATTTCTTTGAGAAAACTTTCCTTTCTTTACTGAAACATATTTATCACATGGTTTAATATACTATTTTTCTAATATCGATGTTCTTTTTTCGATAAATAATCGAAAATTACTTGGACAAATGCCAATCAGAATGTGAATAATAATTTTGAAAATAAGTTACATTTACTTGTCTTTACAGCTTCCATCAAAATGTGGCTTTAAGTTTGCAGATCTGTAGGAATTCATACAAACAAAATAAGATGACTAATTTTTTTCATGGAATAGAATATTGACAATAAGGAGTTTAAAATTACCGTGGAGCATCAAGCATCTTCAGTGCGAGTAATTAAGTCACGCTTTGTACTTATCATTATTGGTAATAAAAATTTATCGTCGAATCGTCTCAACATTACCAGTGAATTAATTACAAGATATAATAAATTTGAATTGTTGTTAATATAAGTATCAGAGATGGAAAATTGTAAAACATTATTCACGCAATTCAAATATCAAAAAATATTCGTGGTTATTCGGTTAAAGCATTTGTCTGAAAATACAACACAGAGATGCAAGTAGTTCCAGTTGACAACTGTCCGATGGAGGAAATGCTCAATTAAGATTCTATTCCTAATCACAAACGAACTACATCAATACGTGAAGCTGTTCTTAATCATGAGTCGTAAGTAAAGTGAGTGTCGTAAATCAATGATCTTGCTATATTATTGATATTATTATTAAAGAAAGATGGTGGTATATCATTTTGTCATTTGAAATTGAATGCCCTTTCATTCTAACTGATGAAACTCAATTATCACTATTCATAATTACTTGAAGCGAGACAGACATCATCAAAATTAATCACGCGTGAATCATGTTGATAAATAGCTGAAAAGTTTTCTATGCCAAATGTTATGCAACAACTTACTCTTATGACTTGATACAGAGTCTAAACTGTGATTTTCTAAAGTTCAGAAATAGCCTTCACCTTTGAAGTCTAGTGAAAACTGGAAGTGAAGTGACTTCTCTCTGGCGGTAAGAGATCACGGTTATCTTATGTCACATAATGGATGAAGATGAAAATGAGAAAAACGTATTGTTACTTAAATGAATCAAAGTTCTCCAAAGGTACCCGTAAAACTACAGAAGCAAACTACTCATGAGTTTCAAATTATTAAACGCATTAGTTATATTTATCCAATTCTAGTTTTCAACAGAATCTGAGCTGTTATCAATCCATAATCAAAATTTTTTTCAGTTGAATCGATACCTAGAATTATATAAAACTAGAAAGATTTTAATCATGTAAAAATCAGTGCTAACTGCAAAGTTTTCGTTAAGGTCTAATTGACACTCATGAACCATACAAAATTTCTACGTAGTTGTTTTAAAATATTGCACAAATAACCATCTGTTTAACTGGTTGAACACTTGAGTATACATGTACATGAATGCTAGTAAGTTACGCTAAAAATTAGCTACAAATGGCCTCTTCAGTAAGTTTGCTGTATTTTAATTTTCAAACCCATTTTTCAGCCAGTCTCATGGGAGTTTCGAGCCGGAAACAGATAAATGCTGAATCAAATTGGATGAATACACATACAAAATCCTATCAAATACAATATCCAATACCTTAATTTCACTTTTTTTCAACATATATTTATGTTTAAATAGAAATTATGAAAACTTACATTTTTGTTGGTTTCACTGTGTCAAAAGATCGTAGAGAATGAGATGAAGCGTTTTTTATTTTCGTTGAATCTTTAGATAATATGAATTGTTCACTATTAATGCCATCATGAACTAATGAACCGGGAATTGGTCTAGAAATTGTAATCATTCCAGGTTTTTTTGAAAATTTATTTTCAGTCTCGTTGTTAGAAAATTTTGCTTTGTTAATTGCGTATTTAGATTCCCAATTCATCACTGTCAAAGATACGTATGCGTAGTAATTGAGTCTGACGTATTATTTTTCTAAAATTCTATGTAACAAATAGAACGTTTTAAAGTTGTTATAAAATTTTTATAAACAAATAAGTTTCGTTTTATGTTCACAACGTTCAATACTCACCAGTAAGCGCTTTAGTAAACTATTTCATAATATTTTTGAATTTATGATAATCATTAAAGCTGAAACATATCATTTTTCGAAAAATGAGTTGGAAACATAATACATCATTTTCCCAGGACCCACTTGGAAAAATATCCTAATTTTGTAATTTATTTCCGAAATTTCGAATTTTATGTTTTGGGGCCAGAGACGCTTATTTTGACCTTCAGCTTACGTCTACTTTTCGGGAAATCCTTGACTGCTATTGGTTCATGGATTATATTAGTACTCTATTTTGTGGCTCTCACCAGCAGTGTTTTATCATTGCGAAAATAAATTCAAATTGTGTGCTCCACGACCTCATACTTTCCGGGTGCCTGTGGAATATATTACTTTACGTCTAATCAATACTTCTTCCTCTAGTTAGTGGGGCCTGGGATGATCGGATTAGACTAGCCTATCGTGCCGCTCGATCATTGATCTTCGTTCCGTTCACCGAGAAAGGTTAACTCGTAGTAGCACGAGCATATCAAATATACTAGTATTATCTATAATTTAGATGTTATTTTAATTTTCAAATGGTGATCGGTTAAATAATTATGAAAAAAAAAGGAATATGGCTGTTGTTACATTCTATCTGAAAATCCTTAGACTGTTTGTTATATCAAATCTGTTTCATTCAGAAAGTCTAGAATTTCAATACTGGTTAAAATACAAAACATTACTAATTGGAATGCAATTAGTGATTATAAGAAAACATACGTCAAAATAGCACAACTTTTAAAATTCTTATCAGTCTATTCCTTCAAACAACCAGCTAGCAAATGTGAGAGTTAATTAATTTGGCTAATATTTTAGTGACAAACAGAAGTAACATTCATTCTATAGACCTCTTTGATTCACAAAATAAGCGGATTTAAACAGGGTAAGACATGAATATTGGTGTAAATTATTTGAAAATATAAGTTAACCGAATTCCATTATTCAACTAAAACTGTGAAGTATGATTACTCAGTATACCCGAAAATTCCTTGTTCAAATACAACCACTAGTTAGATTCTACGATATTGCAAACAACAGATCTGAATATGTATACAATTTTCATAAAACTAAAGATTGATAATAAATTAAAGAATATATTATTTTATTTAAATAAGGTTTTGCCGAAACTCTAAAAATTAATTCCTACTTCAGAGAACTTATTTCAACAACAGACACATAAATGGAAAATTGATACTAAGCCAAAAACATAATAATACTAATCATAATCAACATGAAACATCGCAAGTTATTATTCATAATGTAATAGATTCGACACATATGTAGAATAAAATATTACTGATTATGTAAATCAGACGTAAAATGTTGAGGAATAAAATCATGACTAAATTTACGTAAAACAATAGTAACAATGATTTATTTACTGACTGGTCATATCCTCACAATATTAATCAGGTTTAATAATTGTTATTGCAAGCTTCCTTTGGAGCAATCAACAATTGCTATAAGATTTATCACTTCCTAATTGTTGATAATTAGTTGTATACCATTTGATCTATTGTATGCTGCTTATGGCAATCACAGCATGGTAAATGTGATTTCACATTTGGAGTGCATTGCACCATGAAAACAATTCGGGTATGTCAATTGATGAGTGATCCAGACAGTTGAGAATAGATCTGACTGTGGTGCCTACAATCAAACTGAAGGCAAGGCTGCAGGGAAACTATTGTTCTGGACCAACAGGAGTTGGCATTATTGCCGACCAAGATTCTGATTGACTAATCTAGCAAACAAAATGGATTAACTACTTAGCCGTAATTTTTTTTATGAGTACGTACATACTTGCATAGCAGAAAATCAAATTGTTAACACTGTCAAAAGATTAGTCTAACAATATAAAACTTTGGATTTTGTTCATGTACAATGTAAATATTTTAAGTTAGAGTAAGTTCGAAGAACATAAACACGCTAAAGTTGTTTACTTGATCTGGACATTTCCTCCATAATTGATAAAAGACATTAACAGGTAGTGGACAGTTAGTGAACAAGAGAATATTCCATTAAATGATTTATATTCAAATCATTACAACCTGAAACGGTCAAAAAAAACTCTCATATTCTCTAAAAGATCGACAATATGAATTGACCGAAGAATACTGCTTTCAACATATTTTGAAGCAAACAGCTATTAAAAGAAAACACAGTGTACGTGTTGAGGATTGATACTACATTAAAATAACTTGCTTCCTTTCAAATGACTAGACTTGAATCAATTTATCGATTGATTAAAATTATGAGATTAATGATGAAAATAAATGTAGGATAAAATGGGATGAGAGAAACAGTATTACAGTAGATCAGACAAAGGATTGATTATTTCAGGATTGCGCAGTATGTAATTTGGTATGGACTACGTTAAGTGAGTTGACTGCCACTTACATTCACCACTCATTTACAAGATCAATAATGATAATAATAATAATAATAACAATAGTAAACATCGAGAAAAAGTGACAATGATTGCAATTATATATAAAAAAGGCATAGGAGGTTTCACTGCATTAGTCAAATTTAGTATCATGCCTCCTACAGAAATTAATTTTGAAAAGTGTGGAATTATTAGAGCCTCTATTCATCACTCAATCTATATTATGAATAATTTGAGTCTATTGGAGTGTAAACTACAAACAAGCTTACTAATTTATCATAGATAATACGTGTAATTATTACGATATTCAAGTGGTTGATAACACGATTATTGCTTGCACCTTCATTGTCCCCTGTTTGCAATAGTAGTATAAATGCATGTTACTGTCAGTTATAAGGTCATGTTTAGCACACCTAATATGAAACATGGTGCATTCAGGTTCAATCACCGAAGATTTGTAAAAATGTAAATAGTTGACTCCAGAGGAAGCCTCTTTGTTAAAAAAGTAAAATATTCACTCAAGCGAAATAACAATTATTTATGACTTACCAGTTTTTCAAAGTTATAACATAATTTACCTCGTTTCAGTGTGATCACCAGTGATCATTGACATAAGGGTACAAATGCACAAATGAATCTGATTCATTGTAGTTTCATTCTTAAGCATATCCTGATCATGCGATGTTCTTTTAATAGGTCTAGTTTTATTAATTATGCATACCTATATGTAAACAGATGTACAATCTATTTACATCGATGTGCTTATAGGCTAGAAGTAAGTTTCTTGACAACTGACTTAAGTAACTACACGCGGCCTTGCATGTGTGTGTGTTTGTGTTTAAGAGTTGGAAAAAGTAAATTAATAATTATGATAGAGTAAATGGATTCACTAAAGCTAACAGTTTTCACTGTGTTTTATTATTGATTTCCAGTTGAAAATATTTAGTCAACACATTGAAGTTTGATATTTCATAGCTGAATAAATTTTCGTTCAAGATTTAGTACATCAGAAGAATACCTTTCTCATGTTGGTGTTATGTTCTACCAAATTGTATCTGTATTTAAACACGTGATCGCGATAACCTTGAACAAGTAAATCAATAAAACTTATTATTTGTCAATCAGCTGTTAATTGTTTTCAAGAAAAAATCAAAACTTAAGACCTTTACACGAAGGCCGCATGTGACATTTAAATTATCGCTACACAAATATTTTTGCACTGATTATATAAACAGCATTCAAAAGAAACGTTACTTGATTAACTTAAGTCTTCGGTGAGCACCGCTTCACACCCGATGCGCACTGCTGGTGAGTCCCATACCGGGACGAAACGGCCGTCCAGTGCTTTCAAGTTTCTAAGAGTGGTCTAACACTGATCGACTCATGATTCCAAAAAGTAACTCAACAATCTTCACAACCCGTGACACAAATCACATATGCTCACTAGTGACTACCTCCGTGAGGAAGTTTCTCTGAGTTCTAGTGAGAAGTTGTGATCAGTGAAGTTTTTTTAATTAACTTGAGTCATCAGTTCCGTCTGTTTTTACCAATCGGTCAACACTGAACGTTGGTTGCATCTCGTTGTATAAATTACCAATTTATACGAGAAATTCAGGAACATCCAAATAAGATAATGAAGACTTAGTCCTCGTAAAAGCAAACAACAAAAATAGAGATCTTAATATAAATAAAAAATAATATTCAGATTACTTAAACATCGTGCATAGAGATGGAGTCAATCAAGTTTTTTTTCCAAATTCACTGGAGTTGGATAACAAAATATTCGAATCGGTTAGTCAAAGTCATATCTAATGAACAGAGATGGTAAGACCAGGTGGAATAAGTGATTTCTTTAAGGAATACACTTTTTACTAACAAAATGTATACACCTTATTTTCAAACCTCCGATTGCAAAACAATCAAGTAATCGGCTGTCTTCTTCTATATGTCTTACAGTTTTAAAAACGCTTCCATAGAGCCATATATTCGGATCCGACAGTTTTCGCTTTAACACGACAATACTCCGCTGCCTATCGATTGCATATTACTTACAAGCCATGTTTTGCTTGCCTGGTTGGCCGAAGTCATACAACTGTAAATTATTTCGAGTGAAATATGATATATTTTCGTCGCTTCCCAACGGAGGAAAGCGGTAGCTTTTGACTCTGATTGACTGATTAATTGATAGTTGATTTTATCAACTATCCTTATCCCTATCATCAGTTTGATTCTGATATAAACTTAGCCTGAAACATCATTTAAAATTTAGAGTTTCGTTTACATTCTTCACAAAACTCTTAGGAAGTCCACTGACTGAGGCTAAACCACAGCTTTTTACTCAACTGATGCAGAACAGCACATTTAAGTGAACAATATTGATTTCAGTTACTTCACCGACAGTATAAGTGAATATTCATTTGCATACGTTAAATTATTGAACCGA